AGGGGGCTCTTCCGAAGAAAGTCTACCGCCCCCCGAACGAAATGGAATTTATTTAGAAAATATATGCTTTTACCAGTGTCCGCCTCCCCGGTAAATGTTGACCGCCCCCCCCCCCCCCGAAAATATCAAGTGCCCCCCCCCCCCCCCCCGAGAAAAAGTCTGGCAGAAACAATGCTTTCCATGACCATTGAACAAGTATAAAAATAATACATTATACAAATTTACTTTATTATAGTCTGTAAAAGAAATTGTGAGACCCAAACACAATCGGGGTCTCCAGGCTGCTGCTTTACTAGCCCCCCCCCCTTAATCCCTCACTGGCTGAGGATGTGTTCGTTTGTATTTCTGTTTGATTGCAAGTGTGTCTGAGTGCGTAGGTGCGTGATTGCGGTGTGTGTGTGGGGGGGGGGGGGGTGTTTGCTCGTGTATCAGTTGAATCAGGTTTGAATATATTATTCCCCCGAAAAATATTTGCGTCTGCAGTTAATCAAACAGGGATTAGACAGGAAACTCATTTTGTTGTATGTAAAGCTCAGTCTCTTTAAGATTATAAATCCTATTACTTTAATTACAAATGGATGCAGGTTATTTCATTAATATCACAAACTGGATTCAAAGGGAACACCTTAACATAACATTCTTTCTAACAATAAACTGGTTTATATTTAATGCTCACTTGCTCATTAGCAATGTAGATATAAGCCAACCAGAGATAATGCACAAAATTATTGAAATGTAATAAAAAATACTGCACTGGAATGAACTAAATAATGATTTATTAGAACAAATGGACGTTTTACTGTTATTGCGCATCTGACAAAACAAAATCTATTTTAAAAGATTTACAAGCAACACTAATTACTACAAAACTCAATAATCACTTGTTTAATACTTCTCTGAATTGTTAGATGGTTTGGTCTTTATTTACTTGATAACCTGCGTATGGCAGTCATATATTACGGCACTTGTTAAATAACTATAACGGCCGTCCATTTCATCATCTGTTTGAATAGCTATAACGGCCGTCTACTTGGTCACTTAATAGAATAGCTATAACGGCCCCCCCCCACTTGGTCACTTGTTAGAATATCTATAACGGCCGTCCATTTTATCATCTGAGAATAGCTATAACAGCCCCCCCCCCCACTTGATCCCTTAATAGAATAGCTATAACAGACCCCCCCCCCCCCCACTTGGTTACTTGTTAAAATAGCTATAACAGCTGCCTACCTGCCAACCCTAAAGCTGGGCAGCTGCCTACCTGCCAACCCTAAAGCTGGGTAGCTGCCTACCTGCCAACCCTAAAGCTGGGCAGCTGCCTACCTGCCAACCCTAAAGCTGGACAGCTGCCTACCTGCCAACCCTAAAGCTGGGCAGCTGTCTACCTGCCAACCCTAAAGCTGGGCAGCTGCCTACCTGCCAACCCTAAAGCTGGACAGCTGCCTACCTGCCAACCCTAAGGCTGGGCAGCTGCCTACCTGCCAACCCTAAAGCTGGACAGCTGCCTACCTGCCAACCCTCAAGCTGGGCAGCTGGGCAGCTGTCTACCTGCCAACCCTAAAGCTGGGCAGCTGCCTACCTGCCAACCCTCAAGCTGGGCAGCTGGACAGCTGCCTACCTGCCAACCCTAAAGCTGGACAGCTGTCTACCTGCCAACCCTCAAGCTGGGCAGCTGGGCAGCTGCCTACCTGCCAACCCTAAAGCTGGACAGCTGCCTACCTGCCAACCCTCAAGCTGGGCAGCTGGGCAGCTGCCTACCTGCCAACCCTCAAGCTGGGCAGCTGGACAGCTGCCTACCTGCCAACCCTAAAGCTGGATAGCTGTCTACCTGCCAAACAATAAAGCTGGGCAGTTGCCTACCTGCCAACCCACATGCCTGTTGATCTGGCTGACACACAAGTTGTCTGACCGACTCACCGACTCACCGACTGACCGACAGTTGTACTCGACATCATGTCTTAAATCGCCCAGGCTGACACTCACAGACTGGCCGATTAATCCCGAGACATTCAGCCACAAAATCAACATCAAATTCATTTTGTTTTAAAAACAACAACAAACAAATGATTATACCAAGTGCAGCTAAACCCGAGGTTAAACGTTTAGTTTAACCCATTCACTGTATCGATTAATCATCTACTCACTCAACATCCCCCCCACCCTCCATCCCTACCCACACCCCAATGTCAGAGTTATCTTGTCCAAAAAATAGACTAGGATGAAATAGTTCCAAGTCAAAGCCTCGTGCCAAAAGATAAAAAGAACCCTTTATGTATTTTTAACCACAAAACTTCTGCACCAACCATCGATTATAAATAAAGAGACATAACGCCAGCGGTAGTTGATACTAAAACGTAAAACACCATTCAGACCACCACTATAAAGAGTTACTGCACCAGCTGAGAACTATTTAGGCGGTACCCGGATCAGTAATTTTGTAAAGAATGACGACTAACGGATAAAAGCATCAAGTTTAGAAATAAAAAGCACGATGTTTAATTAAACGAGTTTTCTGTTAAAATTAAAATGCTCTTAACCTGAGTTTGTGAACTAAATTTAGGGCATAAGTAAAATATTTAAAATATTTATGTATTTGTTAATTCTAAGTTTAACATAAGTATGGAGAAGGACTGAGTTACTAAATCTATCACTAATTACAATGTTAAGTATAACATAAGCGTGGAGTATGATTGAGATATTAAATGAATCACAAACTACAATCAGAGTTTCTTCCAGGCATCTCTTTGGGGGGGCTAAGCCCCCCCGAAAATTTTTTACCGCCCCCCCCCCCCCCCGAACGAAATGAAATTTATATAATTTATATAGAAAATATATACTTTTAACAGTGTCCGCCCCCCTGAAGAAAGTCTACCGCCCCCTCCCCCGAAAATTTCAAGTGCCCCCCCCCCCCCCCCGGAGAAAAAAAGTCTGGAAGAAACACTGACTACAATGTATGTGACTGTAGAAAATCACACGTTATGCAGATCGCAGGTACTGTCGAAAAAAAAATTAAATCAATGTTTATAATAATGGAAAAGATGCATTACTTCAGTTGAAAATTTTATTTGATTGCAAATTTTGAATGTGGCATTGATAGAGAAACCTAACAACACAACTTTAAAAAAAAAAAAAAAACTCAAATATATATATATATATATATATATATATATATATATATATATATATATATAGTATAGTATGTACGAATGAGGAACCATTTCGAAAGTGCAACATCATATGCCAACAAAGTGCGTATACATTTTGTCACAGTAACAATTTACTTAAGGAATAACATGTTCTAATGATGTATTGTTATAGTCAGTTTAGAGTTGTATCCGATAAAATGGGGCACAATTTACACGTGGTCACACTTCAGTTGTGAGTACTACTGCACTGAAACGGGGTCACAGTATAGTTGTATTCCGACAACTGAAGTCGTGGAGTCAAAATGGCGTCCATGTTCTGGATGTTTCTCCCAGTCTTGACGACTTGTCTGGTGTCAGCAGCTCTCTACAACGTTGCTCTGTACAAACCTGCCTACCAAAGCTCGGATTTTCCGTTTCACAACGACGGCTTCCTAACGGCAGATCTGGCTAATGACGGCAATGCTGACAGTGATTGGAACCACAGAACGTGCCAGACGACATACAGCGACAATCCACCCTGGTGGATGGTGGATCTGCGAGGTCTCTACAGAGTGGAGCAGATAGTCATCACAAACAGGTAGATTTTGTTTGTACGTTAGTTCGTAGTGTGGTACAGGTTGTTGTCACACAGAGGTAGATTTGTTTGTACGTTAGTTCGTAGTGTGGTACAGGTTGTTGTCACACAGAGGTAGATTTATTTGTACGTTAGTTCGTAGTGTGGTACAGGTTGTTGTCACACAGAGGTAGATTTATTTGTACGTTAGTTCGTAGTGTGGTACAGGTTGTTGTCACACAGAGGTAGATTTATTTGTACGTTAGTTCGTAGTGTGGTACAGGTTGTTGTCACAAACAGGTAGATTTGTTTGTCCATAAGATTACCTTAAAATTATATTCATTGTACACATGACATCCGTCTATGATAAATTTACTATTTACCCCCCTCCCACCCCCCCCCCCCCACCCCAAACGAAAAAGAAAACAATATATAACTTCTATAGAAAAAATATACTTTAACTGTGTTACCAGTGTCTTCGTCCCAAATGAAATTTAAGTTCCTCCTGCTCCCCCTCCCCCCGAAAGTTTAAAGTTCCCCCCCCCCACCCTACTCACTTTCTGCGGATATAAATGTCTAAAATAAACACTGGTTTTATTTTCGTTTGAAGCAATAGATAATAAACGAAGAACTAATCCAGTTAGTCATGAAAGAGTACTGTGTTAAATGACGGGACGACAGAGGCGTATGGTAGAAAACTTGATGACGTCACCGAAAGTTTCCAATTCACGGGCTCAAATACATAGAGTGTTGCTGACTGATAGAGTGGTACAGTTGTAGAGTGGCAGAGTGGTAGAGTGGTAGAGTGGTTGAGTGGCACATGTGAATCAAGTAAAGTAACAGCTGATTCCTTTAGGATTTATTTCCATAGCATTGGTCCACCCAAGATCAATCTGCATGCAGCGGTTCTTTGATTTTTGAGTTTTGTCCTAAGAATTCTCCTGCTAACTGGCATCAAGCTGCACTGGGTCCGAACTCGGGACTTTTAAAATTAGCAATCATCCGTTATCCTGCCGACCACGTCGTCCCACTAATGCGGGCGTCGACATTATAGTTTTATCGAGAGCCAGAGAATTTGCTAAATTATTATTGAATTATTAATTACTTTATTATCTTTAAACAATAAACAGGTTGAAACAGCACTTAAAACCAGATTTTAACACTATACCTGAACACATTGCTCTATATCACAGGGGCGACGACCAAATCTCATCAGACCGAGCCCAAAACTACCAAATCGACGTGTTTCCAACTGACCCGAGGTTGTCCCCCAACTTCCCAATGGCCTCAGGTCAAGTGTGCTACACGAGAACAGCCCCGCTGGGGGTGGGGGAGACGTTCACACAGAACTGTAGCACCCCCATTGTGGGCACGCTAGGGGTGGGGGAGACGTTCACACAGAACTGTAGCACCCCCATTGTGGGCACGCTAGGGGTGGGGGAGACGTTCACACAGAACTGTAGCACCCCCATTGTGGGCACGCTAGGGGTGGGGGAGACGTTCACACAGAACTGTAGACAACCCATTGTGGGCACGCTAGGGGTGGGGGAGACGTTCACACAGAACTGTAGCACCCCCATTGTGGGCACGCTAGGGGTGGGGGAGACGTTCACACAGAACTGTAGCACACCCATAGTGGGCACGCTAGGGGTGGGGGAGACGTTCACACAGAACTGTAGCACACCCATTGTGGGCACGCTAGGGGTGGGGGAGACGTTCACACAGAACTGTAGCACACCCATTGTGGGCACGCTAGGGGTGGGGGAGACGTTCACACAGAACTGTAGCACCCCCATTGTGGGCACGCTAGGGGTGGGGGAGACGTTCACACAGAACTGTAGCACCCCCATTGTGGGCACGCTAGGGGTGGGGGAGACGTTCACACAGAACTGTAGCACCCCCATTGTGGGCACGCTAGGGGTGGGGGAGACGTTCACACAGAACTGTAGCACGCCCATTGTAGGCACGCTAGGGGTGGGGGAGACGTTCACACAGAACTGTAGCACCCCCATTGTGGGCACGCTAGGGGTGGGGGAGACGTTCACACAGAACTGTAGCACACCCATAGTGGGCAGGTTCGTCAGGTTCATCAGGTTGGTAGTAGGCTCTTGTTTTATTCTCAATCAGTGCGCAGAAAAAAACGGTACAAATCATTCGTATTTATTCATTGAACTTTTACTTCGAATTTAACTACCCCTGTCATAATAAGTTTTCTTCAGACTACAATATAAACTAAACAAGCCAGTTATCTTTACCCAAACTAAAGTTACTTTTTGAGTAGGGAAACGTTTTAAATTACAATAATTATTCCCATTGTTAGAATCGCTGTACAAAAAAAAAATATACGTTTTGTCTTGAATGTATTGGAGAGAAGACTGGTCTTTTCGTAATCAGCTTAACGTAATGTTTAATAAAAGAACATGTGAGTTTAAGAAGTTGTATTTTCACAGGTACGAGCAAGACATTATGAACATTTGTGAGGTCAAGGTCATGTCCAGTCAAGCAACGTTCAGAGAAAACAATTTCAGAAAAAATAAAAATTCCGCCCTGAATATGGCGCCATTTCTGACCAGCACAGAGGTCAGTTTTCTGGCCTGCTCCATGGAATGTCTGGAACGTCGTGACAGCCACACCTGCACCGCCTTCAACTGGATTCGAACCTCGAGCCAGTGCCAGATGTTCAGCCTTGACCCACGCATCCCAGTCTCACTCACCGCTGACTCGAACATAGATTTTTATAAGGAGGGGTAGGCGGTAGTGTCGAGGTGATTTGTATATATATATATATATATATATATATATATATATATATATATATATATATATATATATATATATATATATATATATATATATATATATATATATATATATATATATATATATATATATATATATGTCTAAAGGCAAATTTAATAATAATTTAAAAATTCGGGTTCGATTACCTTGTCTTATAATGTTTTAATATATCAGGTATAAAGAATAAAGCAATTAATTTTTTTTACTAGATCTATTGATTTTTCTATGACATAGAGGTCTATTTAAATGTATTTCTATATCGTTATTTTTAAATTATTTTCGTTGTCAATAAAAACAAATGTTTCTATCGTAAATTAGCTATTGGTCATTTTTTTATCATTCATAGATGTAATCTCCACATTAAAATGGTAAATATTTGGACTACACAACTAATATTTCCTACAATTGTTACTAATTTATGTATCACAATTAAATTTAATTAAACCCGTCAACAGCAGCTCTTATAGACGGCCCCCGACCATTAGGTTTGTTATTGATTTTATTTGCCAGGCCAGATCCATTCTGAATTCAAGTTTTACATCAAACTATTAAAACAATCTTATGTTTATTTAAAACGTCACGAACTAAACACTTGCAGCTATGGCGGTTACCATAGCAACCATACAACTAAACCACAACCCCGTCACTACTTTACTACACAGTGGATACAAATGTAAGTGGCGGTGCCATTGAAGATAGAAGAAACTCATCAGTTCAATGATTGTGTTTGTTGATGGAACTAATTAATTCATTAGTGGGCGTCAGAGTCAATGATTAAAGGGAAAGAAGTGTTTCTTTCAGACATTTTTCTCCTCATGGGGGTATGCACTTGTTATTTCGGAAGGGAGGGGTGGTTGTGGAGCGGACTTAAATTTCCGGGTTAAAGCTGGACGCTGGTAGAAGTATATATTTGTGTTGGGTGGGGGGGGGGGGTTGAGTACCCTCCCCCCACCTTCACAAAGAGATGGCACAGAAAATTCTAGCAGCGGTAAAAGATAATGCGTTTTTAGACGGGCTGTCTAGCTGACTGACTTCTGACGTGTTGTCGATTTGACTGACTGCCTAACTGGCTGACTGACTGATCGACCCATTGACCTAAAACACCATCATTCTTTAAAAGTTCACCACTTTGCCTTTGATGTTAACTGACTGAAACCATGACAAAAGCCCTTCTACATTTTTAACCACAAACCGGAGCGTCAGCGTTTGTTTATACCAAAATAAAAAAAAACAATTGGATCGAGGCTTGCATCAAAGACAGTTAAAACACCCACTAAAGAAATACAATTAAAAACTATTTAGGATCTATGATTCTTCTAATTAAAGAATGAAGTTTAAAGCATGAATACCACTAATTAAGAAAATCTAATTGTCAGAGGGTTTGAAAGCACCCCCCCTTAGAAGCTGAGTGCAATGAATTTATCTTTGATAGTAAACCCATGAGGGAATATCTACTGATGCAGTAAATAACTCCTTCAAGGAAAATATTTAATATACTGATGAAATAAAAATAAAAATAAAAATTATAAAATTAAGTAAATAAAATAAAAAACTACAAGAGTGTAAAAGAAACCAAGCGATACAATCATTTATTTGTTGCACATTGACATAGGTAAATACAGCAAATGATAAAATTAAACTTAAATCAGCGTAAAATATCGTTATTCATCATAGCGTTTGTAAAGCAGTTAAACGAAAGCTGATAAAAGGAATGAACACTTTTAAAAAAATATTATATATGCGGCATTTTTCATAGAATCTGCTGTATAAATACATCATTTTGCGGCCATCGGAGATTATGTACATAATTTACATACTATTTTACAAAATGCTCATGCTATATAACAGTTTAATTTTCCGGAATGTTGAATAGTTGTGTAATATAACACTCAATTTCTTACTGCTAACTACATTATATAGATTCTGATGTAAACAAATATTTGATGTTCCAGTCATTAGACGGAACAGTGGTGTAGATGTTTGAAGTATTCAAATTTTAAAATACACAAATAATAGGTTCAGGATTAGATCACTATTTTTTTTTGTTTAATCTTAACTAATCTTAAACAGTAGCGGAACTAGAAAAAAGGGGCCACCCCGCAAAAAATTTTTTTAGGTCCCCCCCCCCCCCCCCCATATAAATATATAGGCCTCTATATGTATATATGTATATATATATATATATATATATATATATATATATATATATATATATATATATATATGTGTATATATATATATATATATATATATATATATATATATATATATATATATATATATATATATATATATATATATATATACTTAAACACAACATACGAACATAGGATACTTATTCATGCTGGCCTGTTCGTGTTATGAGAAATACGTGGGTTTTTTAAATTAAAACAAATTACAACATCATGTCACGAGTGTAAGTGCATTAGTCTGTTTTGTGAAAATCAGTTTTATATTATCTCTGCCGAACAACATCTAACCTCTTATCGGTCAAAAGAATATAAAACATGAAAGCTTTCTGTAAATAATGGTGTCTCGTGTCATGTTTATTTTTATGTTTTTCGTATTTATTTTATTAATTTTAAATACTTTTTCTTTTTATACAGTGTCATTCTTTAGTAAGTAATTTATAAACAAATAATAATAATGAGAAGTAATTTCTTTTTAATTTTGTTTAGTACAAATCTATTAAAAATGAGCATCACAATTTGACTATTTAAAAAAGGGAAATAAGTCATGGAATTGGTTTGAACGTTTGCTTATCTTTGATAAGTTTCATTGTAGGAGAAAGAGGACTCGGCTTTCACGGTGGTTTAAAAACGAAGGAAAAATGAGCGTGTGGTGGTGTCTATAGAATAAAGATAATCCAACCGCAGCCACGGTAATCTTTTTTACAAAACAAACATTAAGTCAAAAATGCAAGAACATTTTTTTAACTATAACAATTTTTTATATGGTCGGCCGTGGGCCCCTAAATGGCGTGGGCCCCCCCCCCCCCCGCATTGCGGGGTCTGGCGGCACTGTAGTTCCGCCCCTGATCTTAAATAATAATAGGAGACAATAGGCTTAGATATTGCCTGTAAATGTTCGTCTAACGATGCTGGAAATTATATCTTTAAATAACTTTTATTCAGCTTCACAATGAACACGTGGTGTTATTAAACAAAATTTAAATATATGATGAAAAACAACTTCCAAACAAGGTTTAAATTTTATAGCTGTACAACTATACATTCATTAAGTGAGAACAACTATGAATTTTGTTAAAATATACAAACATAAATGTAAATAAACAATTTTTAAAAGTGCGTGAGTATAATGTAATAGTATAAGCCTTTATACTTTGAATGTATTATCGTAGATCAGACATGAAACAATTAATGAAAGGTCGTGTCATGCTATTCATTAGTTTAGGCACTTTAATGGCAATGTTTACTTAAGGTAATTTTGTGGACAGTCTTTCGATTTGTTGGTGCGCTGATGATTATTTATACATGTACACACACACACACACACACACATATATATATATATATATATATATATATATATATATATATATATATATATATGAGAGTGGAGACAACAGCTTTCATTGACCTTCCGACCAAATACTTTGAAACGCCAATCATGTCCAACAATGTGTGTCGCGAAGTATTTAAACCCACATTTATATCCCTTTGCCATTTTTGTGAACATGAATTATGATGAATGTTGAAAGATCTCTTTAGTGTGCATGGGTTTATCCATACCCTTACAGCACCTGGGGTTGGGCTAGTGCCAATACATCAAAGCACGGACCTCTGTATCTATCTGACGTGGGTCTATGGGGAAATCGTGTGTTGTAACTTGCCTACATTTTATACTGCTGTCGAGTGTTATAAATAACGATGTGTTGTACTGCAGAACACCCCCGATGGGTTTCATTATTGTTATTTCGTTCACTAGATTAAATATCATAAGCACGATTCACCATACCATGTTGCTGTAAAATAAAATTGCTCTCTTCCGAAATCACTACACATTTTTATCCTAATATTGCAGAGGCAGGATTCACATTTCTGAAGTTAAATTATTTCTCAATTTGAAAATAAATATTGTCTGTTTAATCAAAAACAGTCGACTTTCTATTTTACGAATATGGAAGTCCCAGAATTCACATCAACGATTACACTCATCTCTTATAATTGTGAACTATCGGTGCTGGTTGATGGTGTGTTTTGATCGGTGTTGGTTGATGGTGTGCTGGGATCAACGATTACACTCATCTCATGTAGTTGCGAGCTGTCAGTGTTGGTTGATGGTGTGCTGGGATCAAAAGTTAAACCTAACGTCTTAGTCACCGTCATGTAGAAGTTAATATCACTGGTGCTTTGACTGCAAGCACAGGCACATCCTGCCGAACCATTGGTCGTGTTGGTACAGTTTTCTGTCTCAGTCGAGTTGGAAGTCTCTATCTCAACCTGTCGGCTATCAGCAGTGTTTGAAAGTTCGTCAGTTTGACAGTGTGTGGTGCTACAGGCACCAGAGTTACAATAACCAGGCGTAGAACCCAGGTGTGGCTCCCTAATGGCAGATAGTTCACCAGGTTGAGAGTGTATTGTGCTACAGGCACCAGCGTTAGAGTAACCAGGTGTGGAACCCAGATGTGACTCCGCAGTGGCAGATAGTTCACCAGGTTGGCAGTGTATGGGGCTAGAGGCAGCGTTAGAGGAACCAGGTGTGGAACTCAGGTGTGTTTCCCCAGTGCCAGATAGTTCATCCATGAAATAGAAGTGTTGGGTACCGGAGCTGTACCCTGCTTCACTGATGTCTGTGTAGCTCGGGCCACCTTCGAAATCCTGTAACACCATGGCAACAAAACAGAGGTCACAAAGTAAAAAGCAAACATTAAATTAGGTAAACATGTGATAGCCGTTTTGTCGTCTGGTCAGGTGACTGTCTACTGGTCATGTGACTGTCTTATGGTCATGTGACTGTCTGCTGGTCAGGTGACTGGTCTGATCATGTCAATTATTTTGTTTCACGTTCTGTTATTGTGAAATTTTAGACTACTTTCAATGTTTCTCACAAAAGCATGCACATGAGATAGTGTAGAGATCTTACACAATCATAGCCAAGAAAATCCTGAAAATTCTTTCTTCTCTTGAAACATCGCCTTATAAAACTGTAAAATAAAAAAAAAATTCATCACTGTTTAAAGTGATACAATCATTTGATTATTTTTTACAGCGATACAAATTTTACAATCTGTTGAAATCTACAGAAATACGTATCAAATTCTCTAAATTAAAAGACTCGCAACTAAGCACACAAAAACAAACGTTAAAGGACGAATAGCCAGACAACTACGGCACTGAAATAGTATAAAAATGTCTAAATACTTATAAATTAAGATTTTATCATTTCTGAATATTCTCTAAATACTTACAAACCAAGTATTACGACTGCTATCACGAAAGCAACAACGCCGATAATTATAAAAAGATAATTCTTGTTAAAGTTGTCAACTGATACGTCACCTGAAGAGTTTAGAAAACATTAAAAAATTGAAAAATTATCAATTATCACAGGAATGTCCCCCCCCCCCCCCCCCCCCAGATTTTATAGCTACCTGTGAATACAATTTCTTGTCATCTCCTATATATGTTTTAAATTGTATTAAATATATGGATCATACCTATCACAAAACTAAAGAGATATTTACAAGTCAGCACAAAAACAAACTTCAAAGTGAAGACATCCCCATTCAAAGATGATTCGGAACTAACGTTTGGTTATAGGTGTGTGTAAAATATAATATTCTAAAATATATAGACATTTTTACTTTCTCGTATATACGAAGTATAGAGAAAGTCTTGTAATCGTGCAAAAAAAAATCGAGATTTTTACAAATCTCGACGTTTTACATCTCACTGATACGGAAAAACATAATTTTGCAATCTTGTCCGTATGTCTGTGTGTCTGTCTGTGTGGCTGTCTGTCTGTGTGTAAACACGATAACTTGAGTACCGTTACAACTAGGTTGATGAAAATTCATATATAAGTATTTTATCAAAATCGTAGATCCGTATCAACTTTTGAGCGATTTCCGATAACCGAAAGTGGTACTTTTTCTACTTTGAAATTTTCAAAAGCCTATATCTTAAGTACTATTTCAGATAGATCAATGAAATTTCACATGTAAGTAAAAGTTCTAATTCTCTACCTTCTGTTAAATTTTGAAAAATTTCCATAGACCGGAAGTACTAATTTACGCTATTTCCAATTTCTCAAAAAACTCATGTAAATTTATAAAGTACTAATAATATTGCGCACTATTATCCACATTTTGTTTTGGTGTTCGCTTGGTGCGCAATTCTTTTTTTCTATGAGATTCTATTCTATTTTTAAAAGTTTAAGTAATTAAAAATCATTTCTATATTCCAAGTTATATGAGAATATTCGAGAAAGTTTAGGGGAGATCACTCCCGGTTTATTAAAGACTATTTCTATAGCGTACTTTACAAGGAATGTTATGGTAATACCAATGGTATAAAGAGGTAGAGATTATAGTTCAAGTAAAGACAGGCAAGTTTAAGACGGGATCAAAGCTACCAAACTACGCGGCACTGAATTACTGGAGTGTTAAAAACTTATAGGGCTATCTCACCTGTGTAGCTGTCCACAGCGGTCACCGCCACCATTTTCTTGGAACTGTTGTCATGGTTGGAAGCTTCCAGACAGACGTACTGCAGGTCAGGTGGCAACTGGACCAGGGAGTAGTTGAATGTTCGGCTCCTGGTGCTACAGATCTTCGCTCCTACAGACAACATGACATGGCAGTATTTGGACATATGACATCTGGTGCAAATGACAACACAACATGGCAGTATTTGGGGGATATGACATATGGTGGTAATGACAACAGAACATGGCAGTATTTGGACATATGACATCTGTTGCTAATGAAAACAGAACATGGCAGTATTTGGACATATGACATCTGTTGCTAATGACAACAGAACATGGCAGTATTTGGACATATGACATCTGTTGCTAATGACAACAGAACATGGCAGTATTTGGACATATGACATCTGTTGCTAATGACAACAGAACATGGCAGTATTTGGACATGACATATGGTGCTTAAGACAACACAACATGTCAGTATTTGGACATATGACATCTGGTGCTTAAGACAACACAACATGTCAATATTTGGACATATGACATCTGGGGCAAATTACAACACAACATGGCAGTATTTGGACATATGACATCTGTTGCTAATGACAACAGAACATGGCAGTATTTGGACATATGACATCTGTTGCTAATGACAACAGAACATGTCAGTATTTGGACATATGACATATGGTGCTTAGGATAACACAACATGTCAATATTTGGATATATGACGTAATCCTAACGATAAAACAATGTACTCAACATTTGAATCAAACACCCACTCATTGTTGAAACAATATACTCAACATTTAATTTACTCACTGTTGACTCGACAGTTCTCGTCTGTTGCAGAAAACACACCGAAGTACTCAGCCCTAAACTGTACCGGGGTCGTGGGGTCACATCTCTGCTGGAACCTGAACATTGTAGTTCCATCCTGACCAAACAACTTCGACACCACTTCAATGTGGTCTGGAATACAGACAGGCTAAACATCATTCAGGATTAATGGCTGGGATACATAACATTATTTAGGACTAATGTTGTCTATTAACATTATGAAAAACCAACATATTTTAAGGTTTCTGGAGCGAGAAAAACGATTGGTATAAATCATTTTTACAAGACACTAAAAAAAAACAACTTCAATATAGTATATAAAATATCACGCTCGTGGTAGCACACATTTAGCTACTAGACGTAGCATATTTATTCCCTTGTCAACAACAAAAAAAAAAAAAGTACATTTTACATGACCTCGCTAGTGTTAAGGTCTTACCTCTGACCTACAGAAATGTTACACGCCAAGCGCTTGAGTGGAACCCCGAGGGAAAGGGGAAGACAGGGTGCCCAAGACAGACCTGGAGGCGGAGTCTTCTTGAAGAACTGAAGCCAACAGTGATGTCTTGGGAGATGGCAAAATTAATAGCCGGGGATCGGAAGAAATGGAAGGAAATGGTGGAGGCCCTATGTTCCATAAGGAGCAAAGAGGACTAAGTCAAGTAAGTCAAGTCTGAACTACAGCTCACCTGACCCAGCTAAATACTTACCATTGCCCTACAGCTCACCTGACCTACAGCTCATCTGACCTACAGCTCACATGACCCAGCTAAAAACTTACCACTGACCTACAACTCACCTGAGTGGGCTTTGACTCACCTTTATCCCTATTAAAATAACAACCAGATGACGTCATCCCGCGCCACAGTCCACCTGACTTGACAGATACGTAGAACCTCAGTGTCTCACTAAACTGTGCTGTGTAGACACCTGAATTATCGGTGTGAAAAACAACAATACACCTTGCTGTAACAGATATGTGAAGTAAAAGTAAAAGAAAATCACGGCGCCCCACGTTTTTCATTTTTTGTCATAATGCGCAAGCAGTTTGCAATCGCTTATAGTAGAGTGATCGCTTGCATTATTGTGATATACAGCATTTATTTTCTACTTTTTAGTTCAATCAGAAAACGTGGGTTTTTTTTTTAAATGATAATTATTTTCTACTTTTTAGTCTGTGTCTGTTTGTTTGAATTCAAAACTTGCTATCGATTTTATCTCCTCGCATTCACTTTTTTGGGTAAACGAAGACAAACACTCACAAAGGACGAACACAAAGATAAAAGGGACTTATACCAGGCATGACACGCTTATTATTCAGGATCAGCTGGAGGTTCGTTCTTTCTGCTTAGCAAGACGAGAGACCCTTTCTTGTTCTGTCTCAATCGCACGAGCTTGTAGCATGACGCACTCTATCTTTTGCTTTACGAGAGACACTTTGTTCTTCTGTCTCCATCGCTAAAGCAGCAGATTTTCGGTTTCGATCTTTTTGAAGGGAAAGTACCGAAACTTGTTTTTATCAAATTACAATTACTAGGTTATGTCCCTTTTTGTACAAATCAATAGCAGTCTAAAATGATCAATAAAAGTTTTCCATGGATCAATTTAGTAATAATAATAATTGAATATTGTATTATCATCGGAAACAAAGCTTCCCTGAAAATTTTAGCGCGCTAGCTAACTGCGAAGTGCCCGAAATTTCGATCGCAAGATTTGATGGAAAAACAAACAGACGCGAAAGCACGTTAAAGAAAACGTGGGAAAAAAACTAAAAGGGAATACAAAGCAAGTGTGTGCTATAGATAAAGTTAGATGTGTAAGAACCAGACATTTTGATTTACCTGTTAATTGCTCACCCTCCTGCGTGAAGTTGCTTGACTGGTTGTACTCTGCTGTGAGTAGCCTGGGTCGGATCGTGATGTTCACGTTCACCTTCTGAGGTGAGTTTGTTCCTAGTTCAGACACATTCTCAATATCATAATAATCCATCTCCCTGTTAATTTCTACCTGTTGGTCTACAGGGGGTTGCGTGACTTGAATGGAATACGTGTTTGTGTCCACTAGGTTGGTAGAGACCAGCTGTTTAGTCTGGGACTGGGGGTAGCCCTGTGGAGTTTGTTTGACAAAGATACACATGTTATCGACTTAATACTGCTTGACACATCTACTCTTTCATAGCTAAGAGTTATCCCCCTCTTTCAATAAGGTAGAGTGAAAACATTTTCTTGAGAAATGTAAAATAATTTTTAAGCCAGCCGGTAGATGAGACATGTTAGGTAGTTCATCTACTTTAGTGCAATCTGGTTTTCTGTGTATATGGTCAGCACATGCTTCAATGTCATCTCGGGTTCGGTACTGATCAGAGCTGAGTATACTCAAGACATGAGCCAAAGAACAAATCTCGAGGAGGTAGGGTTGGTTATCGTAAGCTCTAACATGTCACCCAGTCCCATGTATTGCTGGGGTAGGTGCTATTTCTCTGTGAAGTACTGTTTCTCTCAACTGGACAGATCTAGGCAAATTATAATCACATTCTTTTACAGAAAGAAGTTTTAAAATCGCCAGTATTGTAGAGCTAATTGATAGACAAAGTATTATGAAGTTATATTTTACACTATTTGAGGATTTTATGAAATGGTTAAAAAGAGAGATGTAAAATTTGGGTGGGTAAATGTAAACTACGACTTAAGATAATTAAACGTAAAAAAAAGGTATAAATTAGAATTTGACAAGGACACTTTTAAAATGGTACAAAGAAATGTTGCCATGAAAAATGTGGAGTATGTTATGAAGCTTAACTCTGACTGACTTTACAAAGGTCCAGGTTTTCCTCGGTTCTATCCCCTTCACACCAGTGTATAGCGATCAGATCAACGACCTCCGTGCTGCTGATGTTAACAAATACATTGGCCGTGTCGCCGTCCACGTCGACCACCACACCGGGGCCTACACGGGCTGAAACAGTTCACCAAACTTACAGGAGTCTCTAAACATTTCACTAGCAGGGAAGTAAACAGTTCTCCAAACGTAAACACAGGAGCCTCTAAACATTTCACTAGCAGGGAAGTAAACAGTTCGTCAAACGTAAACACAGGAGCCTCTAAACATTTCACTAGCAGGGAAGTAAACAGTTCGTCAAACGTAAACACAGGAATATCAAGACATTTCTCTTGCAGGGAAGTAAATCACAACAACGGCGACCTTATTGTTGACTACAGTAATTTATGGACGTTAACCGCGTGATTTAATCAGAGCAGGAAACTTTTTCCACAACAGGAAACCGTTGTCTGGTTTAATTTTAATAAAATGTTGCTGCGGTGTCGAATAATATTTGTTTAAAAATTAATCAAACGGAAGAAATATAAGAGTTATGTGGGACGAACTAACCAAGTGTGACTCAATTAGACGACACGGTTAGGTATAGTTGTAAATACAACTTATATTAAAATGCGAATGTGTGTGTGTGTGTGCTTCTAATTTTAAATGCCTGCCTTATAGTCAGACTTCCGGTGAAAGGTACCGGCCTTGACCTGAATCGTAGTCACCCTGGCACTAACAGGTTGTTTGTCAAATCAGTTTGACGTGTCGCCTACAAATCATTGCCTTGTCAGGTCAGGCAAATACCCCGGGGGTTAAGTGTGTTGGCGTGACGCCATTTACTTCGTGTGTAGAGTTTCGATTTCTTAAGACGCAGAAGATATATTTGATCGCAAGCCATTGATTTTCTTTAAAAACTTATCTTTATAGCTTACAGTTTACTGGGAAATTTTACTATTAAATAAACCGGTAGTGATCTCCCCTAAACTTTCTCGAATATTCTTATATAAAATAACAGGGGATGGGAACTCGGGCTATAGACTTCTAGACATGATTTTTAATCCATTTTAAATACTTAAAGTTTTAAAAATAGAATAAAATCTCGTAGACAAATTAATTGCACACCAAGTGAACGCGAATAAAAAAGCGCATAATAGTGCGCAATATTATTAGTACTTTAAAAATTTACATTAGTTTTTTGAGAAATCGGAAGTAGCGTAAATTACTACTTCCGGTCAACGGAAATTACTCAAAATTTAACAGAAGGTAGAGAATTAGATCTTTTACTTACATGTGAAATTTAATTTATCTATCTGAAATAGTACTCAAGTTATAGGCTTTTGAAAAATTCAAAGTAGAAAAAGTACCACTTCCGGTTGTCGGAAATCGCTCAAAAGTTGATACGGATCTACGATTTTGATAAAATACTTATATATGAAATTTCATCAACCTAGCTGTAACGGTACTCAAGTTATCGTGTTTACACACGGACACACACACACACACAGACACACACACACACAGACACACAGACATACGGACAAGATTGCAAAATTATGTTTTTCCGTATCAGTGAGATGCAAAACGTCGAGATTTGCAAAAATCTCGATTTTTTTTTTTTGCACGATTACAAGACTTTCTCTATACTTCGTATATACGAGAAAGTAAAAATGCTATTATATATATATATATATATATATATATATATATATATATATATATATATATATATATATATATATATATATATATTTATTTATTTATTTATTTATTTATGTATATATATATATATATATATATATATATATATATATATATATATATATATATATATATATATATATATATATATATAATCTGTTCTGTGTTGTTACAGTAAAGAGTAAAGAATAAATCCAACCTGTATATGGGGGGATGATTATCACCGATTGGTTAACCGACTGACCAATAGAATTAACTGCACGTATTTGAATTCTCATCTGACCAGTCTCTGACGTTGGTGTGACGAAGAAAGATCGAGATGTCGTCAGCGTCTGCTTGTCATTGATTGTTACGTCATACGTGACGTTAGTGTCGCCTTTCTCCTCCTGGGCCAGAGGCTGAAACCATTTGAAAGTAATTGTAAACTGTAAATTTGGTTGTCGTGGTTTAGTTTATATTTGGTTGTCGTTGGTTTATTTTATATTCGGTTGTCGTTGGTTTATTTTATATTTGGTTGTCGTTGGTTTATTTTATATTTGGTTGTCATTGGTTTATTTTAATATACATTGTATGTTTGGTTTCAAGTAAATGGTGCTCTGTTTTTGTAAACACCAAATTGAAAACGAAAAGTCTAATACAGTTAAACTGTTTTGTTCCAAAAATGCAGGCAGGTAATTTTAATTAGTGTTACACTGATTGTTGTGAAGTCTTATAGTACTAAAAGAAATGTCAATGAACGAATGCACCCAAGTCATCAGCGAACAGAACATTTGTATCTTTCTCTTCATTGGTGAATTCCTTTTCCTAAATTTTCAAAAAAACCTTAGCTTTATGTTTGTCCTTGTCTATCAGTGACCTTTCCTCCCACGTGACCTGTCTGTAACCTTACCTGCCACGTGACCTGTCTGTGAGTGACCTTACCTCTCACGTGACCTGTCTGTGAGTGACCTTATCTCTCACGTGACCTGTCTGTGAGTGACCTTACCTCTCACGTGACCTGTCTGTGAGTGACCTTACCTCCCACGTGACCTGTCTGTGAGTGACCTTACCTCCCACGTGACCTGTCTGTGACCTTACCTCCCACGTGACCCAGAGTTTCGGGATTGAACTTTGTGACGTGTCTGTGGGATCCAGCCAGCCGTAACTGAAGTCATCGATTTTTGGAGATATGGTTGGAACTGGTGTAGTAAATTAAAATTTTGGAGTTAATGCTGGAACTTGTGTAGAAAATTGTGTCAATATTATGAGGTATGGTTGGAACTAGTGTAGAAAATTGTCTTAATGTTTGGAGAAAATTAAAATTGTGGTGGTGTGACATTAACTGGTGTAGAAAATTGTGTCAATTTATGGAGGTACGGTTGGAACTGGTGTAGAAAATTAAAATTGTGGAGGTGTGGCATTAACTGGTGTATAAAAGTGTGTCCATTTACAAATGATCATTTAGGCACAAGATGTTTTTGGGTGTTTGAACGTCGGGTTATTGAGGGTGTTTGTATTCAGAAACTGTTGAAGAACAAAAGATCATTGAATCTTTTAAAAATAAATCTATTTCCGTGATTAGCAGAAAATCTCTGTATTTTAATACATGAATGTGTTAAGTCAATATTTGTGTTTGAAGGCTTAAGGAAAAGACTTTTAGTAAGTAGTCTTAGGACGATTTTTTAAAAGAACTTTTAATTTAATAAATGGATTTGTGAAATAGTTTAATTAAGAAATGTTTTTATGTTTTTTTAGGATTTTGTTAAGCAAATTAGAATACAATTTCCGGGAAGTACTTGGAGTTAGAAATATTTTAATAGTCGAGAAGCGTGTTGTACCTGACTTTAGTGTGGTGAAGGGCAGCTGTCTGGCCTCGCTGCTCTGCCAGCACGATCTGCCCGTGACGGTCAAGTTGTAGTCAGTGAATGACGTCAGATTGTCCAGTCGTATGACAACATACTGATACTTTCGTGGCTGATTGTCAAAATATTTCTTAAAAACTGCCTACATTTCAAAACACGACACATTTTTTAGAAATAATTCACTTCTGATAAAATTCAAAACGTTTTAAATCGTTTTAAATTAGAGCGTATAATTTTCTACATATATTACAATGATTTGGATTGAATGCGAATACAGTAGAGTCAATGCATCTTCTCTACTTCAACACAGGCAATGTTTTAAGTCAGTGCTAGGGCCAGGTATCTTGACATAAGGGTTACTGTAACGTTGTCATGTTAAGTGGTTTTGTTTAGACATTTTTCTAAAAATATGGGGGTTGGGGCAATTGAAAACTTAACGGTGGGGGAGGGAGGCACTTACATTTTGTTCTGGGGAGGGTGCAAGAGCTTCTAGGGCATTGCCCTTCTTAACATCCCCCCCCCCTTTCCACCCCGAAGAGAACCTGATCGTGTTACCTGTCTAGTCTCCCGCCCACTCTCCAGTAGGATCTGGTACATCAAGGAACACCCATATAAATTGAGAAATTTGATCAAATCCCGGAGAGCATCGGACGGTCGCCACATCACGACGGCTTCAGTGGCGCTGATGTTCAACAGTCTCAAACCTTCAGCTGGGCTTGGCTGGACTGTAATGTAAACAAACGTATTCAGTCCTAGTTATACGAGCGTCATGGAGAGTTGAATCTACTAGGTATGGAGGTGTGCAGGTCAAAGGTCATAAGTCATGGTCATTTGGAGGTCATGCTGTATTGTTAGTGTATAACGACTTGTAAAAATAGCTATGTTGATACCAGACACCATCCACCATGTTGATATATAACAACAGACACCATCCACCATGTTGATATACTACAAAACCAGACACCACTCATCATATAATATAGAACACCAGACACCACACAACATATAACATACAAAGACACCACTCACCATGATAAATAGAACACCAGACACCACTCACCACGATACATACAACATCAGACACCACTCACCATGATACATAGAACACCAGACACCACACACCATATAACATACAAAGACATCACTCACCATGATAAATAGAACACCAGACACCACTCACCACGATACATACAACATCAGACACCACTCACCATGATACATACAACACCAGACGCCACTCACCATGATACATACAACACCAGACACCACTCACCATGATACATACAACACCAGACACCACTCACCATGATACATACAACACCAGACACCACTCACCATGATACATACAACACCAGACACCACTCACCATGATACATACAACACCAGACACCACTCACCATGATACATACAACACCAGACACCACTCACCATGATACATACAACTCCAGACACCACTCACCATGATACATACAACACCAGACATCACTCACCATGATACATACAACACCAGACGCCACTCACCATGATACATACAACACCAGACACCACTCACCATGATACATACAACACCAGACACCACTCACCATGATACATACAACACCAGACACCACTCACCATGATACATACAACACCAGACACCACTCACCATGATACCTACAACATCAGACACCACTCACCATGATACATACAACACCAGACACCACTCACCATGATACATACAACACCAGACACCACTCACCATAATGATACAGAAGAACACTACTGTTGACCACGGTTGAAACAACGATGTTGTTCATGCTCGGTCTAGCTAGCACAATGGAGATTGTTGAATTTGTTGTCCTAAAAGTGTTTGATATGTCCGTGTTTGTGTACCTGCACGTCCCAGTTTCTCCTGATAGAATACTGCCATTACACAGTATGTAGGTCCTGGGGAGGTGATGGTGGTATGGGGGGAGGGGCGTGGCAAGAAATATATTATTAAAATACGATCAAATGTAGAGTTTGATATAAGCAAGATGTGGGTTCTTCCACGTGTAAGATAAAAAAAACGTATTTACTTATCATGCTAGAAGTTAAAAAAAATACTTTTTATGTTCGATTAAAGTTATGATGTATGACGTGAAGAAATTAAAACGTACCTTCTAGGTTCGATTAAAGTTATGACGTATGACGTGGAGAAGTTGTCTGCCTTTCCGGTGTCGAATGTCAAGGTCATGTCTTTGTTCACTGAGCAGACGATGGATCGTATCACAGGTGTCTGGGGCCGAGCTATCAAACAACAAAAAATGTGATGAATAGACAGCTATAGGGCTGGTAAGAAGGTCACCAACCAGTTCTACGGCTCAATAAAACCTGCATGAGCCAAAGAACTGGTTGGTGACCTACTTACCAGCCCTGTACCCACACATATAAACAAACAACCAGACGCGTACAATCACGGACGTGAGCAAAATGTAAACACAAACACAATATTACAGACAAAAACTATAGAAAATGATTTACATTTGAATTCGAATGAATATTAAGCACTAGTCAATTCTGTCTATACAGTATATATATAATATGTAAAAATACCCCGGAACTGTCTATACAGTAAACAATCTTGTTTTTTTTAAAAAACTAACATCGTATTCTCCTGCTTTAATGGTTGTTAGATAAAAATAATATAGTTTTGTTTAGTAATTAAGTAAGTTTAGTAATCGTTTAATATTTAGGATTAAGTTAGGTTTTAAGGAACTTAAAATGTGGGAAAATAAGCATTATGCTAATTATCTATTTATATGTATGTCGGTAAACATATATATTATGTAGTACATAACGAATACTAGTGAACTTACGAAGTGTGACTATGTATGTGATGTTGAGCGAGACGTTGTTTCTAAGACACGTGTACTCGTAGAACTCTGACGTCACATTGGTGATGTCCAGTCGTGCCGCGCACGTGCTCACCCGCACATGCCCCAAGGTGGTGGAACCGGTGCCAGAGTTCAACGGTCTCAGGACCAACGTGTCATTGTCTGTCGTCTCGTTACAGGCCGCCTCGCTCAGGTAACAACACAGGCTGACGTCGGTGCCTTCAACGCTGTACTGGCTGGTGCTATTGTCGCAGTGTCTGATGTCTTCAGGGCAGCAAGTCAGGGCAGCAAGTCAGGGCATCAAGTCAGGGCAGCAGGTCAGGGCAGCAGGGCAGGGCATCAAGTCAGGGCAGCAAGTCAGGGCAGCGAGTCAGGGCATCAAGTCAGAAGCAAGATAATAAAAAACTAGACTTTAATTCTTAGTTCCCACAACTTCCAGAGTTTCTTCCAGGCATCTCTACCGCCTCCCCCCTCGTACGAAATAGAATTTATATAGAAAATATATACTTATACCATTTGCCCCCCCCCCCCGGAAAATGTAGTCCGTGCCCCCGAAAATATCAAGTGCCTCCCCCCCCCCCAAAAAAAAAAGTCTGGAAGAAACACTGATACCTTCTATGGAAACAAATTAGAAGAAAGTCATGAAAACTAGAGTTCTTAGTAAGATAATTAAATAATTTCGCTTATAGGCCTACATTTCATTGAAGTAAATTATAAGAAATTACATTCAGAACTGGGTTATATCTTTTAGTTAGTTAAACAATTGTCATTTATATTTTTAAAATGACGATAGTGTAAGACAGTTTGAGCATTAGGAATTGAAATAAAACATCAAAGTTTATTTAAAGAAACCTACCTGCATTCACATAAGACCATATCTGACTTAACATGAAAACTTGTAGCAACATGCTCGAAATATCAGCTGTAGATTCTAGACGTCTAGCAGATCAGGATGTTGAAACAACCGTTAGGTTCTGGATATCTGGCACAATGGAAGTTCTGTGGAATAGGAACCTTTATATAAAGTTGTCCTCGGCACAACTTGTCCTGTGACCTATAAATGTCCTAGCATGTCCTCTAGCCTTTGGTTGTCCTATAGAAAACCGACAAAATACACCACTACGTTTCTTGTTAGAAAATTCGTGGTATATTCATTTAATGCTTGATTGGTCTTACAAACTAAGACTGGGTTTGAGTACAATGAGATAATAATAATACATTACCCTCAACAAGTGAGGACGACTGTTGTTCTTGTATCCATTCTAAAATGGGTCGACTGAATAAGAAAACAAAATCCAATTCTAAGAAAGTGTTTGGTAATAAATAATGTTAAAAAATAGTATTCACACATAACAACTTAAACCAAACTGGCTTATACAAATCAAAATCTTGATCGTAAAATAAGTGAATTATGTATGAATCGCTAATAAAACAAATGTAATGTTATTGCAGAATATTTTCTAAGATTTATACTATTGTCATATTTTAAAAAACGAGAACTAAAATGACAAAGATAATTGAAGTTTGGGTAAACAGATCTATAAATAGTAACAGGCTATGAATCCAATGAATGCTCGGTGGAAATCAACGAAAGACCGTCAGGTTGTTTTTTCAAGTTTTAGTTTTACTGCTGTTGGTTTTTTAAATAAACTTTGTTGAATAGAGCTAGTCTAAATATTAATGCGAATTCTTTTACTCCGTTGTGAATTTAAATAAACTTTGTTGAATAGAAGTAATCTAAATATTAATGCGAATTCTTTTACCCCTTTGTGAAATTTTAAATTTAGATCCAGCTTTGAAAATTTAATTAATAATAAACTTGTTTAGATAGTTGTGAATGGGAAATATGTAATTAATAATAAACTGTTTTAGCTAGTAGTGTAAATAGACGCCAGCACAAACCCCCAGCTAAGCAGTGTTTCTTCCAGGGGGGGGGGGCACTTGAAATTTTCGGGGGGGGGGGGGGGGGGGGGGGCGGTAGACTTTCTTTGGGGGGGGGCGGACACTGTTAAAAGTATATATTTTCTATATAAATTTTATAAATTTTATTTCGTTCGGGGGGGGGGCGAAGAGGTGCCTGGAAGAAACTCTGCAGCTAAGATGGACGATCTCTTCATCTGCTGACCAGTTCAAACCACTACTAAACTTGTTCAAGCTGATGTTTGCGCACGGCGACATATATCACTATATACTCACTCGGTATTTACTTACTTTATGACAACCATTCAGTTCCTGCTCAATACAAATAATCTGATTACCCTTAAATAAGCGAAGTTCAAGGGGTAGCCATAACTAGGCTGAGAAATATTACTCACTGTTATATTTGGGTCATTGACCACGCGATCAAGTGGAGCATGAATGTAAGCCAATACATTCTGAAAAAATTAAGCATTGATTCATGGATTTATTTTTAAATTTAACCTTTGACACGAACCGAAACTTCGGGATTTCCCAGCAAGTAACACACAAAAGATGGGGTGGGGGGGGGGGATTTATTTAATGAACTGCTGGATTAACAGACATTCTTTCTCATGTATTCTTGGTTGGTCGTGGGTCCATGTACGTTCGTATGAATGTCACGGTTGGTTGCGCTAATTAAAGCTAAGCTTCAATGCTAATTACTGGGGTTTAGTTAATAACTACTAACTCTAAATGTTAGATACTAAGGTTTCTGCATGAACTTTAAGTTTGTTTGTTCAGCGTCTAGTGTAGTATTTATTTGAGAGGAAATTATTCATGTTTACACATCATGATGTTACCAATTTTTTTAAAAGTAGAAGTTCAGGATCATACTGGTAAGCCGAGACAATCACGTGGTACAGCCCCTGCTGTTATAAAGATATCACATAACGGGAAGAGCCGTTAGGACACGTTTCTGCTGTCGCTACGGTCTGGTACATTGTACCCGTCCAACCACGCTCAAACTTGTTCTTTGATGAACATGTCGACGTTTTTTTTTTGTCCAAGATCTAGCGTAGTTTTATGGTGTGGCTGTCTGTATACCTGCAGATCTATACAGATGTAGTTTAGTTTGTTGATTAGATTTATGTTGTGGTTGACACATCTAGTTTAGCTCGTTTATTAGATTTCTTGTATGTTGTGGTTGGCTGTGTAGGCCTACCTGCAGATCTACCTGAGATCCTGTTTAGGTTTTGTTTCAATCGGATTTGAATGCAAGTCAGCAATGGCATTCGGGGTGTCGGGGTGTCAATGTTCTGTCGGTTTGTCGCCGTTTCGATGTGTCGCAGTTACAGTGTGTAGGTGTGTAGCTAAGTTGGAGTGTTGATAAGTCATAGTGACGGTGTGTCGATGTGCAGCAGTAACGGTGTGTCGCAATGAAGGTGTGTCGGTGTATCAGAGCGACATTGTGTCAGCGTACTTGTATTAGACACAGTAATGTTGACGAAGTCTCATGTTTAATGTTAAAAGTTTGTTGATAAAACTCAACGACACTGAAGTCGACAACTAAAGTGGGCCAACATAACCCAACAAAGCTAACTTGGATTGCTCCACATACGGTACCATGTAAACACAACGTTCGTCACTGGAGCTACATGACTGTGTCTCAAAGCAATAATCGTGTTATTAACTAGCTATTGAGTGTCTGACGGCTAAAGCTATACACCCGTTCACAAACTTCGGCCTATAAAAACATTTCCCTTTGTCCCTTCGTTACGTTAAATTTGAATTATACGTTTGAAAAAAGGCATCAGTCACTTGGTGAAATAAATGTCTATTTACTATGTAGGTAGTTTAGCTGAATCGGACGCTGGTTTGTTAATTAATTAATTAATTAATTAAGGTAACTGGTAAGACGAAAATGGTGTAGTGAGGCTAGTAGTTAATCTCGACATAAGAGGTCAACCATCCAGATACCTGGCCATGTGACCGACCACGTGACCCACACCTACCTACCACCCCAGGCACTTAACATTTGGTCAGGTACGAAGTACACGAGCGAATAGCATTACGTAAGACTATATTTCGCTATATAAATCACCCTATTAGATCATATTATATTTATATATACAATCAAACAAAATTATATATATAATAAATACAGTACAGAGAATTTATATACAACAAATACAGCCAAATATACAGATAATTTAGAACTCTAATTCATCTGCACCTACCTTAAACTCTTGATTTATCCGCTTGACGCTACGATAACGGAAACACACCTGAGCTAACGGTAGGAGTTCCAATATCAAACTGGAACTCCAGACAAACATTACCGAGTTGGAACTTGAATGCTTCACGCCGTCATACGCTTCCTTTGTTATCAGCCGTGATCAATCAGGTCCAAAGATATGTGTGTGAGAATCTTTTTCTAAGAAATATGTCGGAATGGGATTATTGTGTTGCCGTGCGCTCAGTGATGCGTGAAGTCTAAAGAACTCAGCCAAAGTGACGTGTCAGCACACGACGCATCAGCTAATTAGCCCCACACCCCATAGACAACCACAACGGAACCCTCCCCCACTCACAGACACACTGATTCCTTCCAAAACAAACCATACTGAATTCTCCCCCACCCCACCCAACACACGCCCCCACCGAACCCTCCCTAATACCCCATATCTCTCGTTAATACCTTCCATACGAAGCAAAAAAAAACTTTTATAACAGTTTTATAACAAAATCGATATCTCTAAACCACTCGTGTTGTACCCTTATCGTCAGCGTATGAGATCCTAATCACCCTCTTCAGATAGGGCCTATATATCTTAAGAACAAACATTGGAATCTTACAATTTTCTGGCTTTACTGAAAACAAAGGTATAAAACATATAAAAACTATCATTTATACGTAATAACTCACTTAAAGAAATCTAAAAAAATCCTATTTGACTATATGTGGCTGATACCGTTACCTTGATCAAATGTCCACATGACCTATCTATCGATAAGACTGCTCTTAGAATTTATTGTAAGGCCTTATCAGTTTGTTTAAACACATATAACGTGCAACTAAGTTTAAAGTAGGCATTTCTGAAGTTAGCGTATTTTTTTATTCGTGCGCGTTTGTACGTTGCGTGGATGTGTGAGTGTACGTATGTGTACGTGAAGGTGCGTGTGAACGTGAGTATGCGGGCATGTGTATCTTCTATATGTATATATATATATATATATATATATATATATATATATATATATATATATATATATATAATTCTCTTCTTGGAGACCCAAGAAAACAAGCTGTAAGCGCGCCTTGCAGTCCCCTCTTTTCTTCACTAGGCATAAATCAACCACCCCCACCCCCACATGGTCTGGTGAGCTGTGGTTCACGCTAAATGTTTACAATCGTATAGCCGGGTTTAGTGATGCCTATTAGGGGAGATAATTTAGTTTGAAACTATTTTAAACTTAGGGGAGGTAATTAAGAGGAGGTTGCTTTTACAGGGGGGGGGGTAGGATAGGGAATAGGGGAAATGATGGGGGGGGGGGGGGTATCGTCCTCAACGACCAACTGATAGTATTTTAAAAAAAATATTTTCAGTGGCAGCATTGGTACTGTCGAATTCAGAAATTATGAATTACTGAAAAGTAGAAAATAAAACAACTAAATAGCGGCGATGATACGCCGCGGGTCGGCTCGTATATTTTAAAGACAAAAAGAAAAGAAAACAAGCCTGCACATAGTCACTCAGGGTATACCGTCCGTCGTTTGAATTCTTTACAGCCCTTTAGTGTCAAATTTTAACAGTTTACCATTCCATGCTAAACAATGTTTACCAAGATTCTTACTTTCAAATTCTTACAGTGCAAATCGTCTTGGCCAGACGCAAGACAGTAGCAAACTGCTGAGTCTACACTGTGCTCCTCAATAAAACTAGCGCCCGTCATTCTACGCAACTTTAATACAGGGGCGATAACCTATTAATTGTTCGGATCAATTTCATACAGACAATATTAACAGGGTTTCTTCCCTTGTATTTAAGTTTACTAAAACTTTTAATTTTAAAAAATTGGGTCTAACTTTATAGGGTTCTCTTATTTTATACACGTTCTAGTATAATGTTTGAAAAGTTTTTTTTATTAATTTTATGAGAATATTTTTTTTAAAGTGGCACTGCTTTTCGTCATTTGACTCAAATGAAACGAGATGTCGCAGTTCTAATAAAGTTAACAGACGGGGAAATAACTCATGTCTGACGCCACTCTCTACAAGTTTGACTCACGTCTGGAGGACTGAACGCCTGAGATCAACATCAAGTATACATCAAGGGAGAAAGTGAAAGCATTTAATTATACCTAATTTTATTCATTTATTTATTCTTCAATAAAGGTAACAACAGTAGGCACTCTGGCCTTTTTTTTAGCCTGTTGTATTGTTATGGTCACTTAAAATTTATGTCTCTATCTTTTTAATCAGTAACTTTGAAAAAAAAATATTTTAGAAGTTTGCATTATTTCTAAAAATCCATGTATAATGTTGTGTGTTTAGCATTTATTCCTACATGTGTCTGTTGTTTTTATATCAAGTAAGTCTTATAGTTAAGTAGATGTAACACTGGCTCAATGTGGATGTGGTGTTATATCACCCACTGAGGTGTAATGTTTTTATGGGCTGACCCTGAGAGATAACACACAACGATCGATGACGCTGTTGTTGAAAGATCCTGGCTTTACTGCATATGCTGCAACTCGTTATAGGCCTACGGCTAGTCGTGAACGTCAAAGCCATACACCACATATAGCCCTTCATTAGGTCTACATATCCAAGTTAACCATACACGGCACATAGCCCTTCATTAGGTCAACATAACCAAGTTAACCATACACGACATATAGCCCTTCATTAGGTTACATGACCAAGTTAACCATAGCAACCCGCACCGTCGATGTCATTAGCAGCCTGGGGTTTGAATGCCGCGGACACAGGTACAACTACCCAGAGTCCCAGAGGTCACATGACATGGGAACACGGGGAACATCGCTCACAGAAAAACTACATCAACAGTTGTGGTCCCACAGGGGCCGCAACCAAATAAATTACAAATTATCTCCTCTGACCGGTAACCATGGTATGTGTTATAGAATATAGTGTACAAAACTTTAATTAAAAATACATAAAAACTCTTTTTTGTTTGTGTTCAAAATGTGTTCTTAATCCGTTTGAGGTAAATGATCTTAATTACCGGTATCTTTGTTTTAGATATGTTGACAATGTTAAGTTGCTTATCTTGAATTTAAAAAAAAAAACAAACTATTAAGTACCGGTCCCTCTTAATGTATATATGACTGATGCTTATGTTGTTGTGCTCAGCGCGGAATGACCTCAACGTGTTTTTAATTTCCATCTCAGGAAAGCAGACTTTTAATTGTTTTAGCTTTTACTGAAAATTGTTAAAACTTGGAACCTATTAATTTTAAAATCAAGTTCCAAGAAACATCGAAAGCGAAACGTATTTGACTATACATAGCGAATGGGAAATTCCCGTATGACTAATCAGCCACTCAATAGAGATAGCGAATAAGAAAAGATGGTTGCTGTTATCTTGTCATGTTTACTTTAGCCTGCTTGTTTAGTTAACTATCGAGGGGATGGTTACACAATGTGGTAGCGGGTGGTCGGATGCTGCGGCACCAGCAAGATTCTGTTTTCTTCATAGACAGTACTGCAGATGTGGCACATGCTAGACATTCAGTAAGTTTTATTAACTTGACATTCGGTAAGTTTTATTGTCTTGACATTCAGTAAGTTTTATAGACGTGACATTCGGCAAGTTTTATTGTCTTGACATTCAGTAAGTTTTATTGTTTTGACATTCAGTAAGTTTTATTGTCTTGACATTCAGTAAGTTTGATAGACTTGACATTTTATTGTTTTGAAATGCGGTAAGTTTTATAGACTTGACATTCAGTAGGTTTTATAGACTTGACATTAATGTTAGAGGCAGATAGCATCAGCTATGACAGTCACATCACAGTATATCACCACATCACACAGCTGTGTATCACCACATCACACAGCTGTGTATCACCACATCACACAGCTGTGTATCACCACATCACACAGCTGTGTATCACCACATCACACAGCTGTGTATCACCACACCACACAACACGTGTATCACCACACAACTCAACAGTGTATCACCACATCAGACAGCTGTGTCAATTGACCACCCAAGACCTGTTCAAGTTATCTGAAAGGTTTACCTGACGACAGGATTTGAACCATATGGCAGATAACACATGCAGAGGTAACACATCCTCCCCCCCCCCACCACCTCTCTAGCATACACAGATACTGTGTAGACGATCTAGACAAACCTGGAGTTTTTCTTTCGTCAAAACAATGAGCCGTGTCGGTTTGTGAAAGACACTTCACCTTTTCAATACATGTCACCAACCTATCGCCTTACCCCCCACCCCTCCCCACTGCCACGCTGGTGACCCACATCTAGAGTTCGTAGATCTATAGCTAGCAGACGATGTCTGTACAAATCGTCATGTAAACAAACATTCGGCTGCTCAGTTTCCAGGAAAGTCTACATTAGTTCTAATATACACGGCGAATTAAAAGTGGGCTTTCATTTTTTTAAAATCAAACTGCTTTACGGGAAAGAAGATTTAAAACGAGGCTAGTTAGATAGTTAGAGCCTGGGGTTTTGAAACGCAGTTTTTTTTAGAGGACACAATTTTAACTTGCTGTTTCTGTGGCATCACTGTGAGCCAGATTAAAAGAAAACAAAATCTGGAACTAAAGGCTTGAGTGGCACCCAGGGGCGTAGTCTGAGGTGTTAGTAGGGGTAGTCCCAGTACATCCCCCTCCCCCAATAAATGTTTTTAAATGTAATTAAACTATTGTCACTTTGTTAAATTTATAGAGAATATCCCCATTCCTTTCCATAACCTATTTATGCAAGTATTTAATCTTGTCTTTTTAAGAAGCGCAAGTTTAGGGAAAGTATTTTGACTTTTATCAATGTGTTTAAACCAATGTATAATCAGTGGAGAAAAAATGAACATTTACGTGCATTTTAGCCTTGGTCATTGCGCTTATCAATTGTATCATTTCTTGCGACTGCAGTTTTTGTCAAACTTCTGGGGGGGGGGGGGGGGGGGGGTCTTCAGTAAAGTCAAAGTTCTGTGGATTCGGTGAATCTCACACACACACACACAGACACACACACAGACACACACACACACCACGCCACACACACACATACACACACCACGCCACACACGCACCACACACACACACACACACACACACACACCACACACACATACACACACACGGCCTATTTTTTTTATTTGAAATTATTGCCTAAAGACAAACGTTTTACAAAGTCGTGTAATCAGCAGGCAGTGACCAGTCACGTGACTCCCGTCGTTGTGACGAAATGCACCCGCCAACATGGTTGTTAGTTCTGCTGGTGTTGTGGACCACATGGATGCACACAGGCGCAGGTCTCTTGCTTGCACGTAAGTTACTTTGTGGTGGTGGTGGTAGTCTAATGTTTATCACAAGTTGGTACTTTGTGGTGGTGGTAGTCTAATGTTTATCACATGTTGGTACTTTGTGGTGGTGGTAGTCTAATGTTTATCACATGTTGGTACTTTGTGGTGGTAGTCTAATGTTTATCACATGTTGGTACTTTGTGGTGGTGGTCTAATGTTTATCACATGTTGGTACTTTGTGGTGGTGGTAGTCTAATGTTTATCACATGTTGGTACTTTGTGGTGGTGGTAGTCTAATGTTTATCACATGTTGGTACTTTGTGGTGGTGGTAGTCTAATGTTTATCACATGTTGGTACTTTGTGGTGGTAGTCTAATGTTTATCACATGTTGGTACTTTGTGGTGGTAGTCTAATGTTTATCACATGTTGGTACTTTGTGGTGGTGGTAGTCTAATGTTTATCACATGTTGGTACTTTGTGGTGGTGGTAGTCTAATGTTTATCACATGTTGGTACTTTGTGGTGGTAGTCTAATGTTTATCACATGTTGGTACTTTGTGGTGGTGGTAGTCTAATGTTTATCACATGTTGGTACTTTGTGGTGGTAGTCTAATGTTTATCACATGTTGGTACTTTGTGGTGGTAGTCTAATGTTTATCACAAGTTGGTACTTTGTGGTGGTGGTAGTCTAATGTTTATCACATGTTGGTACTTTGTGGTGGTAGTCTAATGTTTATCACAAGTTGGTACTTTGTGGTGGTAGTCTAATGTTTATCACAAGTTGGTACTTTGTGGTGGTGGTAGTCTAATGTTTATCACAAGTTGGTACTTTGTGGTGGTAGTCTAATGTTTATCACATGTTGGTACTTTGTGGTGGTAGTCTAATGTTTATCACATGTTGGTACTTTGTGGTGGTGGTAGTCTAATGTTTATCACAAGTTGGTACTTTGTGGTGGTAGTCTAATGTTTATCACATGTTGGTACTTTGTGGTGGTAGTCTAATGTTTATCACATGTTGGTACTTTGTGGTGGTAGTCTAATGTTTATCACATGTTGGTACTTTGTGGTGGTAGTCTAATGTTTATCACATGTTGGTACTTTGTGGTGGTAGTCTAATGTTTATCACATGTTGGTACTTTGTGGTGGTGGTCTAATGTTTATCACATGTTGGTACTTTGTGGTGGTGGTAGTCTAATGTTTATCACATGTTGGTACTTTGTGGTGGTAGTCTAATGTTTATCACATGTTGGTACTTTGTGGTGGTAGTCTAATGTTTATCACATGTTGGTACTTTGTGGTGGTAGTCTAATGTTTATCACATGTTGGTACTTTGTGGTGGTAGTCTAATGTTTATCACATGTTGGTACTTTGTGGTGGTGGTAGTCTAATGTTTATCACAAGTTGGGAGAATCCCTTTAATTCAATGATACAATAGAACTAAACATCACGAGTCAATGGACGCAATAGTATGTATACTTATGAAGTTTTTCTGATAATTGTTTGATAATAATATTGAATTATATGAAATCATTACATATTATTTTAATTTGAGTATAATTGGTCATTTGATTCGTTTTAAGAACTATTTTTTAGGAAATAGCGAAGATGCATTTCTCTAAATAACCAGTATTTGATTTAAACGCTTTCAAACTTAACTTTGATGTTTTGAAATAGATCTGACAAACAAATGTTGGCACCTGTCTAGAATTCTTGCATTTACAACATCTCTACATCATACGATGTTATCTTTTCTTTAGTTCATTTCTCTTGTTTACTACATGCGCTAGTTCATACCTCCCTAGTAGTGCTTGACAAATTACACAAAGGTAATCTGTGAATACATACATATATACATACATACTGACTCACGTTCAGTTTTGTAACACGAATTTCAGAAATATCCGCCTGCGTCAGCACTGAAGATTTTACTTTCGCCAGAGATTCGCCAGTTTGTCTTCGATGTCATCTCTTGTCTAGTGAGTGTAGCACAACCAGTGCCACAGATGTCATCACACTGCTGCCACAAGATGTCAAGCTGAATGACACACACGTGGATGTCAATAGAACTGACAACTGCTCTGTCGTGGTCACGGTGAATGAGTTTCCCACGGCGCGATCTAATTGGTTGTTTGAATGTCGTAAAAATGGCACCAGTCTTGTTAATCAGAATGTTATATTAGTCGGTAAGTTCTAGTCTATGTGGTTAGTCGGTGTTTAGTCAATGACTGGTCAATTGGTGTCTCGCATTTTTTTTTTACAATGTCTGATCATTTGGTCAATATTACATGGCACATTTTTACCAGAAATTGTTGACAGAGAATGTTGGAACTTTGTGTCACTCCATTCCGTCGAGCGCGATATAGCCCCCTCCAAAAACATTCCCCAACCAAAACATAAACGTGTCTGTTTTGTTGTTACTCTGTAAAGTCAAGTATCAAATGGCCATTTTCCCATTTCCTGTGTTTGGTCTAAGTCAAATATCAAATGGTCATTTTCCCATTTCCTATGTTTTGTGTTCCAGACAGACCAGCCCCACCAGACGTACGGTACGTTTTTGTCGCTCCTACCCTGGACCTGCTGGTCGTGATAGAACGGGAGCCACACAAGGACTACACGGATGTGTTGATGGTGGAGATGGTTGGGAGGGGCGGGTAAGTCTCCGGTGGTTGGGTGCTTGTGTGTTAATCTATGACCGTGGGAGGGGCGGGTAAGTCTCCGGTGGTTGGGTGTGTGTGTGTTAATCTAGGACCGTGAGGGGGGGGGTCTGGTGTGTGGGTGTGTGTTAACATATGACTGTGGGGGTGTCTAGTGTGTGTGTGTGAAGTATATGTGTTTATGTGTGTGTTTATGTGTGTGTTAACCGATGAATATGGGGAGGGGGTTTGGGTCTGATGTGTGTGTTTATGTGTGTGTTAACCGACGAACAATGGGTCTAATCTGGTGTGTGGGTGAGTGTGATATGTGCTGATTGTGTGTGTGTTAACCTATGAACATGAGAGGGGGGTTCTGATGTGTGTTTAGGTATGTGTATTAGATAGTCAACAGTAAAGTTACCATCAATCCGGGACCATTGGTTTCATTCATAAGTAACTTTTTTTTTTTCTTAGGAATAAAGGCGATTTCAATTTTCCCTGAATATTTGTGAACTAGATATTCACGGCCTGTTGCTTTTGTCTTGGTGTATGAGTGTGTGTTGGGGTGGGCGGGGGAAGACCGATTCCCCTCTCCTACCCTCTTTGTATCTTAACTATGGCGCTCGAGTCAAATTGACATTGAGCCAGACTTAATGTAATAAAAATCACCCAATCAAGTCCAAGCTGTGCATGTAACATTAGGATTACATAGCCGCAGCTTGACCACAGAATGGTCTACAGTACTGTCACTTTATCATTCATACATGTCACTCTACTGTATCAGTTCACCTGTTTATAACATGTCACCTAAGTCAGTTTTTGTCTGTCAGCAGATATGTCACTCACCTGTGTTTGATCTCTCTACAGACATGTCACTCACCTGTGTCACTCACCTGTGTCACTCACTGTGTCACTCACCTGTGTCACTCACCTGTGTATGATCTCTCTACAGACATGTCACTCACCTGTGTCACTCACCTGTGCCACTCACCTGTGTCACTCACCTGTGTCACTCACCTGTGTCACTCACCTGTGCCACTCACCTGTGTCACTCACCTGTGTCACTCACCTGTGTCACTCACCTGTGTCACTCACCTGTGTCACTCACCTGTGTCACTCACCTGTTTATGATCTCTCTACAGACATGTCACTCACCTGTGTCACTCACCTGTGTCACTCACCTGTGTCACTCACCTGTGTATGATCTCTCTACAGACATGTCACTCACCTGTGTCACTCACCTGTGTATGATCTCTCTACAGACATGTCACTCACCTGTGTGACTCACCTGTGTATTATCACTCTACAGACATGTCACTCACCTGTGTATAATCTCTCTACAGACATGTCACTCACCTGTGTCACTCACCTGTGTCACTCACCTGTGTCACTCACCTGTTTCACTCACCTGTGTCACTCACCTGTGTCACTCACCTGTGCCACTCACCTGTGTCACTCACCTGTGTATGATCTCTCTACAGACATGTCACTCACCTGTGCCACTCACCTGTGTCACTCACCTGTGTCACTCACCTGTGTCACTCACCTGTGTCACTCACCTGTGTCACTCACCTGTGTCACTCACCTGTGTCACTCACCTGTGTCACTCACCTGTGTCACTCACCTGTGTCACTCACCTGTGTCACTCACATGTGTCACTCACCTGTGTATAATCTCTCTACAGACATGTCACTCACCTGTGTATAATCTCTCTACAGACATGTCACTCACCTGTGTCACTCACCTGTGTCACTCACCTGTGTCACTCACCTGTTTCACTCACCTGTGTCACTCACCTGTGTCAGTCACCTGTGCCACTCACCTGTGTCACTCACCTGTGTATGATCTCTCTACAGACATGTCACTCACCTGTGTGACTCACCTGTGTATTATCACTCTACAGACATGTCACTCACCTGTGTATAATCTCTCTACAGACATGTCACTCACCTGTGTCACTCACCTGTGTCACTCACCTGTGTCAGTCACCTGTGCCACTCACCTGTGTCACTCACCTGTGTATGATCTCTCTACAGACATGTCACTCACCTGTGTCACTCACCTGTGTCACTCACCTATGTATTATCTCTCTACAGACATGTCACTCACCTGTGTCACTCACCTGTGTCACTCACCTATGTATTATCTCTCTACAGACATGTCACTCACCTGTGTCACTCACCTGTGTCACTCACCTATGTATTATCTCTCTACAAACATGTCACTCACCTGTGTCACTCACCTGTGTCACTCACCTATGTATTATCTCTCTACAGACATGTCACTCACCTGTGTCACTCACCTGTGTCACTCACCTATGTATTATCTCTCTACAAACATGTCACTCACCTGTTTCACTCACCTGTGTCACTCACCTGTGTCACTCACCTGTGCCACTCACCTGTGTATAATCTCTCTACAGACATGTCACTCACCTATGTCAGATGACCTGCTCCACACGCCTGTGCTATTGCATGACCTCTGGTCAAGCTGAGTTGGTCAATGTTGCTGACGTCACAATCAGACTTGAACTGTTTCGACCGTCACTGAGCAGACGTGTGTACCACCTTGAGACCAATCGAACTCTCAACCTCACAGGTAAGTAGCGTTTTATACTCGATACTCAGAATTGTGTATCGTGTTAACCTCTTGGTCAGTTTCTTCCAGGCATCTCTTCATGGGGGGGGGGGGATTTTAGACCGCCCCCCTCCCCCTGAAAATTTCAAATGCCCCCCCCCCCCCCCGGAGAAAAAAATTTGGAAGAAACACTGCTCTTGGTTCATATGTATCGTTACAACCCTGTTACGCACAGTTAAGTATCGTTTTATCCTCGATACTCAGAATTTTGTATCGTGTTAACCTGGTTTACATGTACCGTTTCAACCACGCTACTCACAGTTAAGTATCGTTTTATCCTCGATACTTAGTTTTTAGTATCGTCTGGTTCCGAGTAGGTATCGTTGTAGCCTTCTTAATCACGGTTACATATCGTTTTAACTCCTCTACACATTGTTAAGCAGTCTTGAGCTAAAGACTACATATAGATTCAGAATAGAACTATTTATTTCTTTTGGTAGGTTTCGTTTTCAAAATAACGTGAAATAATGTGATTACTTAATTACCTGTTGTGTTTTAATTTTTGTAGTTGTCCCATCCCGCGTGGTGAATTTGACCTTGACCGATGTGTCTGATAGCGAGGCCACGGTCACGTTTGGGGTGGACAAGGATACGGATAAGCTCGTTGAAACGTTGGCTGGGTACGGAGTTCCGCTCACCTATAGAATAGTGCTGGAAAACATGAGCGATCGTGGGAAATCTGTACAGGTGAGTTGAAGTTCGTTACAGATCGTTAGGGTTCAGTTGTCGCCCTTTGCACGTGAGTTGTCACCCTTTGTCCGTGAGTTGTCGCCCTTAGAAAGTGAGTTGTCGACCTTTGCACGTGAGTTGTCGCCTTTAGAAAGTGAGTTGTCAACCTTTGCATGTGAGTTGTCGAACTTTGCACGTGAGTTGTCGACCTTTGCACGTTATTTGTCGACCTTTGCGCGTGAGTTGTCGCCCTTTGAATGTGAGTGGTCGCCCTTTGATAGTGACAAGATGTTTTTTATGTGTACGATTGGAGGTGGTTGCTCTCTGTGATGACAGCTGGCGGACAACTAAATTAGACTGACCTGAATATTTCAGCTGAAGATCACGAAGACTCACCCTGGAACACTGACCGTAGTCAGACTCCAACACCTGACAGCATTCACTGACTACAGAGTTGTTGTGACAGGTGTGGCCGCGGGAGGGGGTGGGATGACCAGCACCCTCCACTTTACGACCAGCAAGGCAGGTGAGTGTCATAAACTATAGTTGTTCTTGTTTCACTACAGTTGGTAAAGACGAACATCGCTTTTAGTACATTTATCCAATACAAATTGTTTCATTTATATATATATATATATATATATATATATATATATATATATATATATATATATATATATATATATATATATATTATATATTGTTCCAGCCAGCCCCCTTATGTTTTAGAGACCCCCATTAATTAACTGTTCCAAAACATGTCTCTATCAGTTCCAGCATCGCCACCCAAACTGGACGTGTTCAACCACATGTGGATGTGGAGCAACCACAGTCGACAGGGACAGGTTTCACTTTGGATCTTGTGGCAGGTTGGTAGCAGGGGAAGTAGAGTCAATGTTTCGCCGTTGTAGAAAAGTACATTACAGGGGCTATACTGTGTGCTGTACGTTCCTACAGATTGTTTTGTTAACCGATTCTCTATAATAAAAGTTGACTTAACTGTTGTTTCAGGAAAGTTACATTTTCTTTCAAATATCTTTAAAAAATCTTACCATACCTTAGGTAAATGTATCAAGAAATAATATTATTTCCATTTCAGCCTTTACCACAATCCGCTATTGGGGGCAGCAACATTTCTTACGTCATTAGCTTCAACAACGAGGCACCCATTACTACAAATAATAGTCACGTTCGCAAAGTGTTCGAACACTTGCCAAATAAACCACTCACATTCCGAATCTGGTCAGCTAATGAAATAGGAAAATCTCTAAATTTTACTGAAATAACCTTACACACTACAAAAGGTGCTGTTTTTTTTTTTTTTTTAGATAATTATTGTTTTAAGATAATTATTGTTTTAAAAAATAAGATTTTTAAAATTATGTTCTTAAGAAAAAAAAATTTAAATCTCATCGGTAATGTCTTCTAAGGAATCGGAGCTTTTAGTTAGCTACTGTAACGATCCTGTTATAGTATTGGTTATAAACATTCAATCACATGTTTAACTATCCGCACATTTTATTTTCAGGGGCGTCGCCAGCCAGGATGGTAGTAAACTATTTGGACACCCAGACAATGGTCGCACACTTGCGACTGAGGGGTCAAAGAAATCTGACCAAAGTTGCCATCCTCTGGTGCAACAGAGGAGGCTTTAGGGGACTTTTATGTTCGGTTAGTATATATACATATATATATATACATATATATATATATATATATATATATATATATATATATATATATATATATATATATATATATATATATATATATATATATATATATATATATGGTAACGCAACATAAATTTTACCATTCTTTTTTTTCAAATTACGTAAATTTGCACAAGACAAAGTATGTACCCTAGATCATTGAATCTCAATTTCCAGGATTATACCAGAACATCTATAACAGAAACGAAGCGGACAAATTTGGACACTAATTTTTTGGTGAATGTTTCTCGGAATGAAAGCAGTGGTGTATACAAGGGACAAAACCCTGTTTATGTTGACTGGCAGGAAATTGATGTAAACAATCAAGGTGTTATCGCCCCTGTATCAAACAGTGCTCGTGTAGAAAGCGTCACAGAGGAAGATGTGTTCGACTGTGCCCAGTATGTTGAAGCCTCATGTCTCCACACATGGACACGCCTCTGCTTGTGTATGTTCCTGGGTGGTCAGTCAGAGGTCACTGACCTGCGGCAAGTAAACATGGCGCCAAGTTCTAGAACGGACAGCAGCTCAGTGAGAACGGGCACGAGTAATCTCAATGTGTTCTTTTCACTGCTGGTAGACGGCAGGTGGACGGGGATGATACCATCAGAATGTTATTTTACAAGTTATCCAGGTCAGTCTTCTACACATTACTGCTTTATTTTACCTGACGAGTATTGATTATGCTAATTTCTGACGTAGATGGGGCGGGTTTTTGGAGAGATAGCTCCACCCTTTCACCTCGGCCTCAACGTTACTTAAAATTTGCAGATTATTTTTACCTACCATTGTTGTCACACATCGTCACAATAAGTTTTACCAACCCCCACCCCCTTTGCAACAAATGTTTTATCCCTTTGTACACATAACTTTAGGTTGATTTTTTCTAGGGGTGGGTAAGGGGGTAATTACTATTTAATGTTTTTTTTTAGCTAAATTGACTTAAAAACAAAGTTTGTTATAAATTTTATAAATTCATAAGCGTGACAATTTCTTGACCTTATCTATCCGAGTGTGACGTTGTTTGTAAACAGTCCGTTACCCTTTATGTAGGTCAGGATCAGCTTTTATATCCAGTTGAGGTATTATCCATGCTGTGTTATAAATTAAAACCTGCAAGCATGCTAATGATTTTGATAACATTTCTTGATCATCAAAGAACCTAACCAATAAAAAAAAGTGTTTGCCATATTTCTTGTTCTCTAGCCGTGCACCGAGCTATCTTGAACATCACCCAACATGTAGAGAACAGCAGACATGTTTTCAAAATTAAACAAGAATGCGAGACAAGTAACCCAACACAGTTTCTTGCTGAATATTTTACCGTATATTCAACAACTGACATGCACTGTAGAGTAACAAGTAAGTTGTTTCTTCATATTGTGTAGGCTAGTAAATATACACAGGCTAGTAAATATACATAGGCTAGTAAATATACATAATCGAGTTATTAACTTTTTAGATAAAACTTGATCTACCTGTTCTTCATCAATTTTTATTGATTAAACATTTATTGATTCTAATTACCAATAACAACCCACCCTTACACCATCTGAACCACTGTGTGGACTACCGTGTTAATCTCTGAAACACTTGCGCATTGTTTACCTGCTGACCTTCCACTGACAGAGGTCATGACCCAGAAGGTCATCCATGACGTGTTTGCTGTTGCTGACGTTGAGGTTGAGGTTCCGGGTGATGTCCCTTATGTCTGTGTTAGGGCTGTTGGCAGCAGTGAGAAGGTTCAGTCAGATGTCAAGGTCATCCATGTAGATGGGTACAAAGGTGGGTCAGTGAACGTGTCACATGGGTCAGTTAATGTGTGACGTGGGTCAGTTTATGTGTGGCGTGGGTCAGTTTATGTGTGGCGTGGGTCAGTTTATGTGTGGCGTGGGTCAGTTTATGTGTGGCGTGGGTCAGTTTATGTGTGGCGTGGGTCAGTTTATGTGTGGCGTGGGTCAGGTCAGTTTATGTGTGGCGTGGGTCAGTTTATGTGTGGCGTGGGTCAGTTTATGTGTGGCGTGGGTCAGTTAATGTGTGGCGTGGGTCAGTTTATGTGTGGCGTGGGTCAGTTTATGTGTGGCGTGGGTCAGTTTATGTGTGGCGTGGGTCAGTTTATGTGTAGCGTGGGTCAGGTCAGTTTATGTGATGCGTGGGTCAGTTAATGTGTGGCGTGGGTCAGTTTATGTGTGGCGTGGGTCAGTTTATGTGTGGCGTGGGTCAGTTTATGTGTGGCGTGGGTCAGGTCAGTTTATGTGATGCGTGGGTCAGTTAATGTGTGGCGTGGGTCAGTTTATGTGTGGCGTGGGTCAGTTAATGTGTGGCGTGGGTCAGTTTATGTGTGGCGTGGGTCAGTTTATGTGTGGCGTGGGTCAGTTTATGTGTGGCGTGGGTCAGGTCAGTTTATGTGATGCGTGGGTCAGTTAATGTGTGGCGTGGGTCAGTTTATGTGTGGCGTGGGTCAGTTTATGTGTGGCGTGGGTCAGTTTATGTGTGGCGTGGGTCAGGTCAGTTTATGTGATGCGTGGGTCAGTTTATGTGTGGCGTCGGTCAGTTTATGTGTGGCGTGGGTCAGGTTAGTTTATGTGTGGCGTGGGTCAGTTTATGTGTGGCGTGGGTCAGTTTATGTGTGGCGTGGGTCAGTTTATGTGTGGCGTGGGTCAGTTTATGTGTGGCGTGGGTCAGTTTATGTGTGGCGTGGGTCAGTTTATGTGTGGCGTGGGTCAGTTTATGTGTGGCGTGGGTCAGTTTATGTGTGGCGTGGGTCCGTTTATGTCTGGCGTGGGTCAGTTTATGTGTGGCGTGGGTCAGTTAATGTGTGGCGTGGGTCAGTTAACGTGCCACATGGGTCAGTTTGTGTGGCGTGGGTCAGTTTATGTGTGGCGTGGGTCAGTTTATGTGTGGCGTGGGTCAGTTTATGTCTGCCGTGGGTCAGCTAATGTGTGGCGTGGGTCAGTTAATGTGTGGCGTGGGTCAGTTAATGTGTGGCGTGGGTCAGTTTATGTGTGGCGTGGGTCAGTTTATGTGTTACATGGGTCAGTTTGTGTGTGGCGTGGGTCAGTTAATGTGTGGCGTGGGTCAGTTTGTGTGTGGCGTGGGTCAGTTTATGTGTTACATGGGTCAGTTTGTGTGTGGCGTGGGTCAGTTAATGTGTGGCGTGGGTCAGTTTGTGTGTGGCGTGGGTCAGTTTATGTGTGGCGTGGGTCAGTTTATGTGTGGCGTGGGTCAGTTTATGTGTGGCGTGGGTCAGTTAACGTGCCACATGGGTCAGTTTGTGTGGCGTGGGTCAGTTTATGTGTGGCGTGGGTCAGTTAACGTGCCACATGGGTCAGTTTGTGTGGCGTGGGTCAGTTTATGTGTGGCGTCGGTCAGTTTATGTGCGTGGGTCAGTTTATGTGTGGCGTGGGTGAGTTTATGTGTGGCGTGGATCAGTTAATGTGTGGCGTGGGTCAGTTTATGTGTGGCGTGGGTCAGTTTATGTGTGGCGTGGGTCAGTTTATGTGTGACGTGGGTCAGTTTATGTGTGGCGTCGGTCAGTTTATGTGTGGCGTGGGTCAGTTTATGTGTGGCGTGGGTCAGTTTATGTGTGGCGTGGGTCAGTTTATGTGTGGCGTGGGCCAGTTTATGTGTGGCGTGGGTCAGTTTATGTGTCGCGTGGGTCAGTTTATGTGTGGCGTGGGTCAGTTAACGTGCCACATGGGTCAGTTTGTGTGGCGTGGGTCAGTTTATGTGTGGCGTGGGTCAGTTTATGTGTGGCGTGGGTCAGTTTATGTGTGGCGTGGGTCAGTTTATGTGTGGCGTCGGTCAGTTTATGTGTGACGTGGGTCAGTTTATATGTGACGTGGGTCAGTTTATGTGTGGCGTGGGTCAGTTTATGTGTGGCGTGGGTCAGTTTATGTGTGGCGTGGGTCAGTTTATGTGTGGCGTGGGTCAGTTTATGTGTGGCGTGGGTCAGTTTATGTGTGGCGTGGGTCAGTTTATGTGTGGCGTGGGTCAGTTTATGTGTGGCGTGGGTCAGTTTATGCGTGGCGTGGGTCAGTTTATGTGGCGTGGGTCAGTTTATGTGTCGCGTGGGTCAGTTTATGTGTGTCGTGGGTCAGTTTATGTGTGGCGTGGGTCAGTTTATGTGAGACGTGGGTCAGTTTATGTCTGGCGTGGGCCAGTTTATGTGTGGCGTGGGTCAGTTAACGTGCCACATGGGTCAGTTTGTGTGGCGTGGGTCAGTTTATGTGTCGCGTGGGTCAGTTTATGTGTGTCGTGGGTCAGTTTATGTGTGGCGTCTGTCAGTTTATGTGTGGCGTGGGTCAGTTTATGTGTGGCGTGGGTCAGTTTATGTGTGGCGTGGGTCAGTTAACTTTAAGTATGTTTATAATGTCCTTTTACTTTATTTACTGTACTATACCCATGGACATGATTTCACAGATGATCTAAATAATGATCGAACTAATAAAAGTGTAATCATTGTATCAGCTGTATCGATTACCGTCTTGCTTTTGATCGCAGCTCCTGTCTTGTAAGTACTCCATGGTTTCATCCCTTACCCTGTAAGTACACCATGGTTTCACCCCTTGTATATTGCTTCAAATATTGTAACGGCCTATTCTAAGTGCTGCTATATCTATTGTCCAGATGGTTTGCACGAAGATTTCAAAAACGTGGCCAGTTCTACAAGGTGTTGGCGACACAGAGCAGAAAGATCACAGCAGTTTCCAGAGATGTCAAGGTAAGACTTGTTGGGGTATGGTCTGTAGTGCAGCAGTGACGGTATGGGGCACGACTGTGATGGTATGTGTAAAGCTGGGATGGTATGGGACATGGCTGGGATGGTATGGGGCATGGCTGTGATGGTATGTGTAAAGCTGGGATGGTATGAGGCACGGCTGTGATGGTATGGGGCACAGCTGTGATGGTATGGGGCACGGCTGTGATGGTATGGGACATGGCTGTGATGGTATGTGTAAAGCTGGGATGGTATGGGGCACAGCTGTGATGGTATGGGGCACAGCTGTGATGGTATGGGGCACAGCTGTGATGGTATGGGGCACGACTGTGATGGTATGTGTAAAGCTGGGATGGTATGGGGCACAGCTGTGATGGTATGGGGCACGACTGTGATGGTATGTGTAAAGCTGGGATGGTATGGGGCACAGCTGTGATGGTATGGGGCACAGCTGTGATGGTATGGGGCACAGCTGTGATGGTATGGGGCACAGCTGTGATGGTATGGGGCACAGCTGTGATGGTATGGGGCACAGCTGTGATGGTATGGGGCACAGCTGTGATGGTATGGGGCACAGCTGTGATGGTATGGGGCACAGCTGTGATGGTATGGGGCACAGCTGTGATGGTATGGGGCACAGCTGTGATGGTATGGGGCACAGATGTGATGGTATGTGAAAAAAAATCGCTTCTTTTACAATAGAGGCAAACTTTTTTGTTTCCCTAAAGAAAACATTTGCTTTTATATTAATTTATATGACAATTAATGAAAGAATTTTTATCTGCAAAAAAAAATAATTCTTTATTTCAATCTTACAGAAACATCAACAGCCTGATAAATCTAAGGACGGCGACCAGTGGTCAGCTTATTACAGGGACTCAACTCTTTGTATCTTGCCACTACAAAATGTTGATGCTCCACACCAAATATGCCAAGACTCCAGCAGATTCTGCACGACGGGCTCCAATGACTCGACCAAACCTGACATCAAAGACCCAATGGTACCCCACAACAGTGTCTTGACAAATAGTTTGACAGAAGGCTCTAACGTTGAAGCATTGTCTGAATTCGGAGGCGTTGGTCACAAAAAGGCACAAAAAATCTCAGGCCAGGAGTTCAGTGACCTCAACAATGACACCGAGGCGAGTCACCAGCTTGACATGCAAGGACCTGTCACTACCAACTGTGCGACATTAGGAAGTGACACTGACACATGGGTGACACCAACACCTGTCACTGCCAACTGTTACAGTAGTGACGGGGTTTACCAGAGCACGAGCGGTTGTTTAAATAGTCTGGAGTCGTCGGGTCAAAGTTCATATTTACTTGACCTCTACGCAGAGAACGGTCTGACATGTCGTTACCATGACGACAGCGAGGGAGATGAAAGCAGCGTATGATACGTATTGTAGCAAGGTCTTTCAGGAAGTGCTACCTGTCTACTCGATTGTCTCAGGAGGGGCTACCTGTCTACTCCATTGTCAGGAACGGCTACCTGTCTACTCCATTCTGTCAGGAGGGGCTACCTGTCTACTCTATTCTGTCAGGAGGGGCTACCTGTCTACTCAATTATCAGGAGGGGCTACCTGTCTACCTTCAGGAACTGCTACCTGTCTACTCCATTACAATGTGAGATCTCTACACAGACATCTTGTATTAGGAGGGTATTCATAAAAGGTGTCATACACCTCATATAAAATGGTTCAAATTTGTGACAAGTTACCTGTGTGTGTGGGTGAGGCGCTAGTAAGAATGACGTAGCATTTTATTTCTAAAGACAAAAGTAAAGGTTAGAAGTAGATTACATCTAAAAACTTTTACAAATGTTTGCTTTTTTAAATATAAAAGTTAAAGAACATCTGTATTGCAAAAAAACATTATAGATTAAAATCATTGGTAAAACATTTTTTCCACGAAATAAAACACAATTTAAGCGTATGAGTACAGAATTATATCTAGTTTGTATTTGTGCATTTTTTTTTCGCGCAGCTTTCAATTTTTTGTGTTACTCGTGCTTTATTTGTAAGTCTGCATTTTATCAAATACATGGAAATTCCAACTAGTCTCCTACTTTTTTAATCTCACCTTAAACTAAAGGGAAGTAATGTGTACATTTTTATCAGTTATTTTATTTTTCGTGAACTATTGAACCTGAATACAAATAAAAAAGGAAATAATTTGTATACATTTGCATTATAAAAAAATTGAAATGATCAATTTCGAATTTTTACTAACGTTTTATCAGTTATAAAATTTGAATGTTTAATAGTTACTTGTAAAACTTAAACCATTAAGAGCATATCGCAATGATGAATGTTTTTTTATACTTCAACTACATTACTATAAACACAGAAAAAATTCATCCGGTATAATAAGAAATAAGAGCAAAAAAAAAACCTGTATCGATGTATATGTATTAACTTCCTGATGACTTAAAAGTTAGTGTTTCCTTCATTGTGTGTCACCCTGATAGACACACGCCCGTCCTCACCCTTACCAATGTATCCACCAACGAATGAAATTACATTCTCATTGTGTTGTACCACTGGTACTTCAGTCAACCGGCAGTAAAAATATCAATTGATCCCTACAAATTATACACTGTAGGCTACACGTTAGAGGCCTTGTCTAGAGTCACTAGAAACACACATGTATAAATTACGTACGTGTGAATGTGTACGTTGCTATATGAATCTATGTATGTACAAGTCTATATGAATGAATAGATGTACGAATACTGCAATAACCTTTACCCTAAGAATGAACACCTATATATAAATTGTATAGTGCTAGTTAAGAGGATCAGACTAGTGACGTGTGGCACTTACAATAGTTGGATATGTATTCATGGGGAGGGGTGGTTTATATTTTTTTTTAAATCAGCAAGGAAAGCATGATGTGGTACACACAAAAAAACAACCAACTCCTTCAAAAGTCTTAAGATGATTTCTGGTTTCTTTTAAAAAAACAACCAAACAAACCAAACGATGGCATACAGTGCTGAAGAACATAACAAGTGAAGTTGAAAACAGCATAAAATAGCATACATATGACTTACAGATGCCAACACTGAGTATCAGGAGTGGTGTAGGTTACCCAGTTGTGCTAAATTAACAAAGCTGTCACTGTACTAAGATTTTAAGATAAATATTTATAAACAAAATACATTCTCTGTTGAGGAAGTTAAATGCAGCTTTAAAAATGTAGTTGACTTTACAAAAGTATGTGTGGCAACAGTGTGTAGCACAACATGAAGCACATGAGCTACCAAGTGAAGATAACCAACCTGTGGCCTTGGTTCCTTAATACTCAAAAAGATTGCATGATACAGACTGAAGTGTAAATGTTACATGAATTCTAAAACATTTTATATTCATTACTAGTAACTTTACATTTTCTCAAAGCAACTTTAACTCTACATAACATAACCAAACCCCAAATAAGGATGCAATTTATTATACACAAATCCCGTGACCCCCCACCCTCCTTTCCACCCCACAGCATAGATATTCCGCCAGGACTAGCATCAGTAATGAAACAAGTTCTGAGGTTGACCCTACAGAATAAAAACAAGGCACTACACATTGGGCAAGGAGGTTTCCTTGATATCAGATACTTATGAAATAAATAGATTTATTACAATTACAGATTATCACTTTGTAAAAGAAATACACCAGTAGCAAACAATCCAACCCCTAGACCTAACCCATCCAACCACAAGGGTCACCTAACCCATTCAACCCCTAGGGTCACCTAACCCACCCAACCCCCAAGGGTCACATGACCCATCCAAACACTAGGGTCACCTAACCAACCCAAACCCCTAGGGTCACCTCACCCATCCAAACACTAGGGTCACCTAACCCATCCAACCCCTAGGGTCACATGACATATCTCAACACTAGGGTCACATGACCCATCCAAACACTAGGGTCACCTAACCAACCCAAACCCCTAGGGTCACCTGACCCATCCAAACACTAGGGTCACATGACCCATCTCAACACTAGGGTCACCTGTCCCATCAAACCCCTAGAATCACCTAACCAATCCAACCCTATCGTCATTAAAGCCAACCAAACAGTGTAAAATCAGGTTTTTAAAAATTAGAGCAAGAAAAAAATATATATACAGTAAACAAAATCACAGGAGGAAAATTCACAGTTAACAAAATATAACTTTATAGTGTTTACATATCAAACAACAGATAAAAAATTAATGTTAAATTAAAGCTATTATTTTTATCTCTAGGCTAGGCTTGTGAAAAAAAAATTATAACAACAGATCTTCAGAACAATGTAGTCTAATCAACATTTTCTTCACCAGCTGTTTTCTATTTATTAAGAATGTTTACAACACATCTAATCTGTATACCTCTACCCTGCAGTCATCAGCCTCAGATAATTTAGTTTTTTCTTTAACGCTGACAATAGTAAGACATGTGACATACAGGACAATTCTTTCTAAGATACAAGTTCATGAATCAAACTTATACAAATACAAACTAAAGTATTTGAGGCATGTTATGTTTCTTTTACAGATAAAACTAAGAGCAAAGTTTTCTTAACAACATATTCCACCCGCTGCTTTAGCACTTTGTCTTGCATGTGCATGTGCGTGTATATATATATATATATATATATATATATATATATATATATATATATATATATATATGTCTAGAGCAGGATGGTTTAAAATGAAACATTACAAAAAAACTTTTAAGTGGAGGTAAGTTTCAATAAATCACATGCTTAATAGTTATTGAAAAGCTCTAACAAAAATATAAGTGAAGAGAGGTTATTTTGAAAAATCCAAATTTTCAAAAAAAAAACTTTTTCTGTTTCCTTGTGTAATATTTTTAAAAATAAAAGTACAACTTATTTTTAAGTACCAACATAATTTTTAACAGAAATTATCAAAATAAAACAACAGCCTATAAAGCTAAATATAAATTAAATTACTTGTCATAAACAGTATAAAAATATAATTCTTTATGCAATAAATAAAATTAGGATCAAAATTGAAAAAAATAAGCAACTTTCTACAAGATTTATTATGTAAATATAACAAACAATTTTAGGTTTAACTTTTACCTCAGCCTTCCCATCCCACCATAGTTCAAGAGGGCAGATGGCACACCCATCAGAGAATCCAACAGTAAGATTATTGAAATAAAATACTTGGACAGAACATGCTTATAACAATTGGAAAAAAGTTTCTAACTTGGGAGGAACCACACAAAATTCGATTGAACAGATTCAATGGGAAATCTAAATTAAAAAATTTGATTGTACACATTTCATTGGGGGCTGGAATGTAGGAAATAGAGATGATCTATTATTTGATGTAAGCTCAAGTTCAATTGGAAAGCTTTAGATTTTTGAAATTGTACAACTAGGATTTGAATTTTATACCAATCAGCTGGGAAAATGAATCCTTTTTTTATAATTTAAATAAACACAACAAAAAATACAACTAGATGGATGTTTTATAGTAAAGAGAAATAAATATATAAATATTGAAAAGAATAATATACCACTTAGGAGATTGTGTCCAAATCACAACAATATTTACACAGCCTCTTAGAACAATTCAAACAATTTTTAATTAGCTTAATTAGGGTCATTTAAATTAGATTATCAAAGGTTACTCATATGTACTTGTAAATTCATTTATTTAATGTTACTAAAATATAAGATATTACTAGCTACTTTGTTTTTAAATGCATGATGACTGTTATAAAAAAAATAACCAATACTGTAGTAGAAGACATTAATAAGGCAGGTTTTATTGTCCACATCTAGAGTAAGTTATGGTTTTTCTATGATTGATAAGTTTTATTGTCCACATCTAGAATAAGTTATTTTTCTATGATTGATAAGTTTTATTGTCCACATCTAGAATAAGTTATGGTTTTTCTATGATTGATAAGTTTTATTGTCCACATCTAGAATAAGTTATTTTTCTATGATTGATAAGTTTTATTGTCCACATCTAGAATAAGTTATGGTTTTTCTATGATTGATAAGTTTTATTGTCTACATCTAGAATAAGTTACGGTTTTTCTATGATTGATAATACAAGTTAACTATACTGATAAAGGGTAGCTTCATACAGCTTAAGTTATCATTTTACTGCTAAATGAAATAAGTATTAAAGGAAAACAAAATAACAAAACTGGCAAAACAAAATTGGTTAAATAATTTAGAATAAGGAAGTACATATTCAAGGATTTCTTTAAAATGAACTGGCACTAGATTATATCTGGAATATTGTGCTACAAAATGAAACGAGAATCGAAATTTGAGCATTATCAAGAGTGAGCTCATGTAAAGATTATGGCTTGGCATTAACGATTTATTGTGAACAGCCAAATCAACCTGTACATTAAACATTCCAAAGTGACTTCTAGCTCTTTTATGTGCAAATGTTTTAAATCTTATTGTTATTAAATTGACGCAATCGTTACACATTAATTTTAATTATGCTACCTCCTCAAAAAAGCATTAGTATAAGTTAAGAAAGAAAAAATATGAAGATTTAAGGATTCAGTTTCCTTCATATTTGGATAATCAAGAAATAACATGATAATTGAAGAAATATTGCATCAAAATTGTAAATTGCAATGCTAGAAAACAGAACAAAAATAATAAGCAAGCTCTGAAAATTATATACATTATAGAAAAACTTCACTTTAATAAATAAGTTATACATTTATTAAAAAGAGTATGGCTAAGAATATTAATCTTTAGTTTTTTTTTACAATTCACATTTCAACTATATTAGTGCCAATGTTACCATAGCTCAATCTCAGGTTAACTCTCACTTAACTAAATTAGAAGAATTCTAATAACAAAACTTCACTTAGGACTTTTATTAGAATATATTTGAACATCAGCTAACCTTAAACAAGATATTTTAATTTAGTTTATCAAAATTAGAAAAAACATCAAGTTTTGTCTCAAAAATATTACACATTTTGTAAAATTGTCCAACAGATTTAAAGAAGTTCTCCAAATAGCAAATGGTAAAGCAATAAAACAATAGCATAACAAACAAAATGCAAAATATAAGCATTGATGGCAAAATATATTGGACCTAACCAAGTACAATGAGCTATAGGTATGTATAAATGAATGTATGGATTAATGAATAGCTATCATAGACATGATTAGAAACAAACTTCAATAAATATTTTAAAAAGTGTGACTCTAAAACAAATTTTTTAAATATTAATTACAATGAGTGATTGTTTAACTTGAATGCAATAATTGAAAGCAATAAAAAAATCAATAGTACTAAAAATGTATTTAACATTTAAAATTTCAGATAATTTTAACAACATGACTTAGTTTTTTTTAAAAGGCAGAGGAGAAATAAAAATTATAATGTTAACAATGCAGAGTTAACAATACAATAAATGGAAAAAGAATAATGTCAGATTAAAACAAGACTTGTATTATTTCTAATGAAACCATTTTTGAAGAGGTCATTTAATTTGAACAACACTATCAACAGGGTGTCTAGCTAAAGTCTATGTACACGTTTCTACACGAGTGAAATCACAGATGGGAGTGACTGCACATCCAACTGGAATTTACAGTCAGATCATATCTTTGTTACATCCATATGCTTGCCTTTTTTGTTCCTTCGTTTACCTTTCCCAAAAGTTGCAACATATGGTGCAGCACCTTTAGCTGAAGCAGCCTCCGCGGGGGGACAGAGCTTTGATTCCTGGGATATCTCAGAACCTGCCGAAGTGGGCAGCAAAGATGATTCTTCAGAGGTGTTGCAAGGTAGGTCCAAATTAGTAACATCGCTTAGACTTTCTTTAGCAGACACTTTCTCCCTGCCGCCAGCCTTGCAGGTCTCTGATACAACAGACAGCAGATCATTGCAGCTGAGGTCTGTGCCAAAGCCACTGTCTGGTAGGCTGTCGCTGGAAGCTGCTTTAGACTTGAACAGTGATGTACTAGAGTCTGACTGCCTGATACATTCTGCTGATCTACATATGCTTGAAGAAACAATTTCCCCGCTCTCAGCTTCAGCTTTTGGTGGATGCTTGGAATGTCCTCTAGGGTTAGTGTTCTTTTGTGATGGAGGGGATAATTTGGGCTGAGCTGAAGTATCTCTGGCTGGTTTGGTTTCATGTTTATCTGGCGACTTTTTTTCATTTTTATTTGCTTGAAGAGTGCAGGATGGGGTAGAATGAGTTTTGGCTGCACTGGATGTGGAGACTGCTCCAGCAGTGTCATTGGGATCAAGAGCTTTCTCAACGTCTTCATTTGGTGCAGGTCTATGAGCTGAAGGGATACTAGAGCTGTCTGGCTCCAAGTCTTTGTACAGAGGGGTGTGGGCATGTGACTCCCCTAGAGCAGTGGTTGTTGTGTCTGGTTCTACGTGGCTCTCCAGTGTGGTGGAGGAGGAGTCTCTAACCTCATTACTCACAGGTGACCCAGAGTCACATGACCTGGAGGTACTGGAGGAGGGAGGGTGAGTGGAGGTTGATGTGGACACAGATGAAACTGATGCAGTTTGTGATGCTGTGGTCTCAAATGATGTCGCTGGTGATGTGGTGACAGCCGGTGACTGAGGGCTTTGAGACAGCGCTGAGCCTGAGGGCGAGGATGACAGGACTGGTGGGGACGTCACAGGCTGGGTCACCGCAGTAGTGGGAGTGGGTGAAGATGACGTAGGCTTGACTGAAGTCCCTGCTGACTGTCTGATGATTAGCTCCGGGCCCCCACCATAGATTCTATGCAGGAACAGCCACATATCCTTGGATAACTGTCCATAATCTGAGGTTTGTCTTAGAGTCGGCTGAGCATTTTTAAAGACAATGATCCTGCTGTTTTCTATTGGGCCAGGCGGTACTGAAATTTATCACAAATTACCACATTAGTTTGCTTTACATGTATTTGTATTTTCAACATGATTTTAACCTGATGCATAGATGTTAGCTTTAATTTAACAAGGCAATACAAAAACTTACAATTAGTTTTTTCTTTTACATAGATGTTAGCTTTTATTTAACAAGGCTGTAAAAAACTTAGTTTTCTCTCTTACATAGATGTTAACTTTCATTTAACAAGGCTATACAAAACTTAGCTTTTCTCTTACATAGATGTTAGATTTCATTAACAAGGCTATACAAAAACTTACAATCAGTTTTTTCTTTAACAAAAGCTTCCCACTCCTTAAACCATGCCATGCTGATAGCATAGACAGTATCTGTGTGCTCCTCTTGGAAATCTTCATTTAACTACAAGAGAAAGTAAAGGTGTTAATTGACAACCAACAACTAGTTTTTAAACTTTATTATGAGTACTACTTAAGTTTTTTGCTATAACTACTAATTACATTGAAAAAATAATAAGAGCACAAATTTTAAAAGCTACTCTGAGTGACTTACTTGAATAAAGGTCTCCTTCTCCATCTTTTGCCTCTGCCTGAGCTTCTCTTGTTCACTGTGACAAATTTTACAGGTGTACAGGTGATTGCACACTGGGCCACCCCCAAACCTGAACAGAGAAATAAATGCTCTTTATATCATGGAATAACATGCACAAAATAAAATACAATAATAAACAAAAATGTCACACAACACTTATCTTCCTGATCAAAGGTAAAACTTATTTCAGCAGGAAATTAAATGTGGGGTATAGATTTGATTAATCTTAGCGATGTATGAGATCATTTTAGTGTTGTTTACTGAGAGGCAAATGGCTACCTGTTGTAGAGTAGCTCCCAGGTTGACTGTGGGACTTCCTCTGTCAAGTCATAAATCAGGCTGACTTTTCCTGGGGGGACTCCTGCACACCACAGAATTAGGTACAGTTAATAAAACCTAGTTTCAGCGTATATCATACCAATCTTTAAATTATTGAAGAAAGTCTTGAGCTAATATTGTCAAGTATCTTATGGCACAAGTTCTGCTACAATCACAATTTGTTTAAATTATTAATCTCAATTGAACCTACTTGGAGCATGCAGACATAAAACAGGGTATATATTACCTCCATGTTTACACAAGAAATCTTTGTTGGTGATGGGTCCAGGTTCAGCAAAAGTGTTAAACCGGCTCATCCATTGTTTACTGATGTAGAACCGGAGAATACTTGTCTGAAACAATAAAGTTGCAGCACAATTCAAAAAACACTGGATTTTCTTTAAAAGTTAAATTATTGAGTGCTCTAAGGTCAATAGTTACCTCATTGTGCTCCATATCCATAACCTTTTGGCGTACGTTCTCAATAGCTTTATTGCTTTTCCTTTTACAAAATATCGATAAAGGTTTTAGTACATATAAGTTTAATTTTGTTTAATTATATTCACATTATAGATATATATTAAGTGGCTTTAGATTAAACAAGGTATTAATCCCATTTTATATGTACATATTAAAGGCTTTGGTTCATATAATGTGATATTAATGGACATTATACAGATTAGTGTTTTAGTTACTTTAAGTTTGATTTTGTTTTTTTACAAAACTTTTAACAAATTTTAAGTGTGTAAAATATTTAATACTTTATCAGATAAAATGATTGCCGATAGCCAACTGACCTGTAGAACAACACATAGGCCTCACAATTCTGGACCTGACTGATGTCAACTTCTGTGACGTACTGGTCATCAAACTCGTACCACTGCTCATTCAGGTGGTTCAGACAGTAGGCTGTGTAGTGGCCACCTGGAGGTCAATAAAATAACTATTACATCTTGGTGTCTTGTCATCTCACCTCATCCAGGCAAGATAGATAAAAAAAACTATATCTAAAAAAAAGCTTCTATTCCAATTAAAGAAAGTATGTTATACACAAACTGTTTACATATTATTTCCAATCATTTAAAAAAATATACTCTTAATATAATTTGTTTCAAAGTAGGTAAATTATTTTACCCCTTAAGATTAGTTTAAATAACTGAGTGTAAATAATTTTAAGAAGTATAGCACACACCTCCTGCAGTTCCATGGTGGCAAATGATAGCAACAAGATCATACAAAGTTACCTCGTCTTTACAGGCTGTTGGGAAGGTTAAAAGATTGAGTTAATTGCTTTGTGGAGTGTAATCAATGTGGAAAGAATAAAAAATACAATCCAACAAAGGTTAGTATGAAAAAAAATAAACAGAGGGCAAAACAAAAAAATACACATGCCAATCAAACACTAAAAAAAAATAAAAAAAAAACGGAAAGGACAAAAATAAAACAATTCCATTCTATACAAAGAATAGTAGTAAAACTACCTTTGTGGAACTTTGATTCACTGATGTTTCCTAGGAAAGAAAAATGGTGATTCAACAAACTCCATTTTTTAAAACTAAAGAATTAAAATGAATGCAGAATTGACTGACTACAACAAGCATTGTACACAACATAAGGCAAGTGGGGGGCAACCAAACACACAGTGACAAAACTCAGGGTTAGTTGTATACATGGAAATAACATTCACAAAAAGATGAAAAAGAAACTCCTTAAAGAAATATTTCAATTTTTTTAAATATTTTTTTTATTTGTTTAAATATATAATTTAGCTGTTATTTTATGTTTATAAATTATATTTTATATCACAATGAAACATTGAATGAGCCTATATGTAATTTTGATAAGCGCAAATTAGATACCATAATTTCAATAATTAAAAATAAATATTAATTTGCATCCTAAAAATGTATTTACACAACTATAATTCGTTTGTATCTTTAATTCAACAATAATATGCTTAGCAGTTAAAAACAAACCTCTGTAAAGATAGGGCTCCATATCCAAGCCTTCTAAAGGAAATGAGATATAAGTGCTGATCTTAGATGAATAAAACTCATGTCTGAAACGCTTCAGATGAATGGATAGAATCTACAAAACAAACAATAAAAAAACAGGTGAGGACGATGAAAAAATGACTTTAAAATGTCAGATGAATGGATAAAGAAAAAAAAATCTTTGGTATTAAAAAAACATACCTCTGGCAACTGGAGTACTTTCGAGTATTTCAATCCATTTCGCAACCTGTATGTACAGTATTCACATTAAGAAAACTAATAGATAGGTGTAATGCCAAGGTTAATAACTAACTTAAAAAATCTAAATTTAATACATTAAGTAAAAAAAAAAATCTAAGATGACATGCCACCTACTTTTTACATTTTTCACAGCTGTACATGTTGTCTCCCTTGAGTTCATCAGCGGAGAAAAAGGCCAACAAACAATCTTGCAGTGTGATGGTAGGGCCAATAAACCAACTGTTAGTGGTGAAAAACAAACACTTTCTGTCATTTAACACATTTTAAACTCCTCTAGCAGAAGAGGATACACTTCCTTAAGTACTATGAAAGTGAGAGTATAAAGAACCTTTTCATCCATGTATACATCCAGGCCAGCCAGCCTTGATGCACCTCTCCACATGTTCCTCCTTTAGGTGGTACCACACCCCCTGCTGGGTAACCAGAGTGAAGCATATGGAGGTGATCCTTGCTAGGGATAGGGAGGCTTAGATCTTGAAATGTCTCTTTGGTCGTGGACACCTAAGGTAAACAAAAGTGACTTCTTGTTTAAGTTTCTCGGCTAGCATCAAATTAAGCAGAAATAGAAATTAAAATCACTTTTCAAATGGAGCATCATAAAAAGTTCTTTAAGCTATTGAAACATTTTTAAAAAAATGTTTCATACCTTACAATAATAATGAGATAAATTTTAATTTCCTCTTTCAAAATAATTATAACAAGCTACAATAACTACTCAAACATAACTAAGTTTTATTATTTTAAATTATAAACTATATTCAATAATACTTTGTAAGAAATAAGATCATGTAATACAGTTCTAAATATATTTAGGGAAAAAACATTTGAGCTTACTGTGTTACAATTGAGGCACCGGACAGAACTAAGAATTTTGCCATCAAATGTTTGAGAGATTATGCTTTCAAATCTTGTATTTTTCACTTTACCTGAAACAGATCAAATGTTACCATGACAACTAGCACACTTTGGTGAGTTAATTACAAATAATTTTTGGAACAACTCCTGGGAAAAAATTGAGACTTACGGGGTTTTGATGGGGAAGAAAGAGGCTGAGTTTGTTGTGGCTGAGGCGAGGTTGGAGATTCAACATCTTTAACTGGTACTGACAGATAGGATGTGCTCCCTTGTTCACGTGAATCACCTCCTTCCATTACAGGTCTGTTGCGTGAATGGCGCCGACCATGGGTGTCAGATTCACTTTTCTTTTCTAATAAATTTGCTGTTTCTTTCATTTCCTTTGTATTGGCAACCTGATAATGGAATTTTTCATTAAAAACACAACTATAGGATCAAATATAAAATTCAATTGCTATTTAAACTACTTTATGGAAAAAAGATAACCAAAATAATATATGGGAGCTTGATAGAAAAAGTTATTAGTATGGAGAAATAATAAGCATGAAAAAATTGGACTGAGAAAACATTGTAAAATGATGTCCGCTTATTATTTCCCTTAGTTTTTTTTTTCTGGCTTAGTCAAATGTAACCAGTTACAAAAAAAAATAGTTCCAGCATGTGCAAATAAAGTGTATGATACTACAAAACCAAGAGGATATCTTACACAATCTGTGCCATCCTGAACCTGGGAGGTAGCAGCACTAGACTTTCTTGCCCTCTCAACTTTCTTTGGCCTAGAGCCGTCATTGGTGTCACTGTTGTTCTCATCACTAGAGCCAGCATCCCGTCCACCGTTTGAACTTCTTTCACTGCTTAGGCCAGAGTCACATGTCTCATAGTCCAGCTCTGATTGGCTACTAATGGAATCAAAGGAGGGCCTTCTGTTGATACCTTCACCTGACAATACCTACAATAAATAGGAGAAATGTTCAAAGAATCTTTAACATAATTTGTTAAGGCAATACTGCAATATAGCTCTGAGACCTAGTGTGTTACCAAGTCCAATACAGGCTACAGTCGTATACAAACATGTTTACGACAAATCCTTAAGATGCCCAGACAAGATGTCTAAAGATTGACAGGGACATTAAAGCCTGCAAATAGGGGTTTATCTGCAAGCCCTGAGAAGGGAAGAGGCAAGGCAAGTGTTCGTCTGGAATCCCCAGGGGGAAAAGTAGACAGGCCAGAGCAATCCTGAAGGAGAGCCAAGTAGGTGGAGAGCTGTGGCTGAAGCCCTTCCTTACTCCCCTGGAATAAGATCACTGAATTATAGCTGTTAATCAGATTTTCTAAATACACCACATATATTGTACAAAATTTTGAGTTGTGGTTGAAAAATGTGTTGTGCTTGGCTGCACATGAAGCAAAATAGTTTTATACCACAACAGTAATGGGTTGACTAGAAATGGAAGTATTTAGCATTTTATTTAATATTAATTTTACTGTGATTTCACGTGGCTTTAGTGTAAAAAAAAATGCATAAAAACGTTTTAATAACAAACTTGAATGTAGTAATGCCTAAAAAGGAGAAAATAAATGATTTTCTTTAAATATATTATAATACTCTACTATTTAAATAACTATAAAGAAAAGCGTGGGCCGCTATAATATGTATTGGATACTTTTACTAAAAAAATTTCAGTACTTAACAATTTTTAATGTAATAGGGTTGCATGACTAAAAACTATTGCGCACATAATGAACATGATAATGCGCATATAATAGTGTGGAATAGTTAGATAATACTACCTACTAATTTAATAAAATAGTTAATTCATAAAAAATTAATTTAGTCATCGAATTAAGTCAAATTTATTGTCATATTGCATTGACATCGGGTCTTGACCCACATACCCAATTTCAGAGAAATTGATCAGTTAGTATTGCCTGAAATTTTGCTCTCCTGTTTATATAAATAAAAGCTAGTAAAAATCAGCGGAGATCAGCACAAAACTCACTTTCTGTTCATTTGACGCACTACCAGCACTAGTAGCATTATTGGAACCATCATCATCTCTCCCACCCCCACCAGCATCTTCATCTTCACTTTCACTATCATCAGAGTAGGGAACCTTCAACTCTTCATGCAGCTGATCCATTAAGCAACGCAGAAATTCTTGAGCATCCTACAAAAAATACAACAAACATTACTACACAGGCACTATACATAAAGTAACTACGGGAACATGAAAATCTAGCTCTAAAAATGTTAAGCTGGTAAATATTTTAAAATAAATAGTATTATTACTCTAACTGCAAAATGTGTTTTTAAAAATAGCAACCTGAAGGATTTTAACAAAATTAAATAAATAGTAAAATCTGAAAGTATTTTTATGAACCTGTTGGGTGTAGCCTCTAAACATTGGATGCACAGCTTTTATTCCTGTCACTACTCCACTGGGTACGACATAGCTTGGTCTGATTGTGGAACATTGAACGATATAAATAACAAGGAAACTAATACAATTTTTTTAAGGTGAACTAAACAATAATCACTAATATCATTAGAAAACCATTTAAAGAATCTTATTTGCTAAGACCAAAATTACTGAAGAAAACGTGCTGCCGTAAATCTGTTAACAGAATATGCTTATAATGTCCAGTTTGGTTATCAACGAATAGACAGCAGTAACTTAAAAACATGGATTGTTCTGAATGTTTGTTATGTGCTTTTTGTACTTGAACAGATTATAAAAGCTTAAAAAAATGTATTAGAAAAAAATATTCTTGTTACCTTTTCTTGTGCCAAAGTTCTGTTATTAGTTTTAAGTAACTGCGAGAAAGCATGGGAGTCTTGTCAGGCAAGATAAGTTGTGGACAATCTAAGAAGTACCTGGTAAGTGGAGGACTGGAGAAAAATACCAAGTTACAAATTAGAAATGTATCTCATTATTTTGTGATTGGACTATAATAAAAACTAAAATCTTTTGGTAATCATTACCAGTTAGAGAGACTCTGTAAGGCTGAATTCAGGTAGCATGTGTTGCCTAGATTTTGTAGGCCTGTCAAACCTAAACAATCATTTTAAGAAGGTATTTAAACATTAGACTTTTTAAGTCTTTTTACTAATTCAAATCAGTACAAATAAGTATATGCTAGTTAAACATTTAAAAGTCAAGTATATGAGTTTGTGAGAAAGGTAATATGTAATTTCTAAAATACTTTTGTAGTATATGAAATAAATGTAATGTGATTTCAAGCTTTTCTAAGAACATCAAAAGGAACTGTTTACAGTTAAAAGAATGTCAGAAAAATCCATACAAATTTAATAAAATGAAAGCTCAAAATTTTTAAACTGTAAACAGTGTTATTGAAAATACAAGATAATGGTAAAAAAATTAATGAGTTCTAACCTCTTGGTCTAACATTTTCATTTTCATAATCAGAGTCCGAATCTTCTCCAGACGCACTCCGCTGAGGTGTGCTACAAGTTGAACCTTCTGCGTTTGACATTTTTCTAAAAGCAAATAGACATTTAATTTGATTTTGTATGACAGAAAATATTTGTGTTAATTCTACCTATGTGGCAGCTCAATACCATGCTTAGATTTAATTTCTCCCACCATATGCACTAAAAACAAAATAAAAACATCCCAGCTCTACTTGGTTCAGAATCTAACACCTTCTTGGTTCTGTCTACACTTGAAAAAAACAAAAACCAAAATACAGCAGCATATAAATGCAATCAAACTTTCTGTTAAAATTTCTAAAAATATGTATGCCTAGAAATAAATCTAAATATGGACAGCCCTTGACCAAAATGGCTTACATGACTTAATTAAGCACTTCCATAATTTTCGTTGTTAGTCATTCATGTTGCTAAAGATACATTTTTTAAACACATTGATTCAACTTGACCTGCGGCGGGTATATTTTTAAGATTTTGTTTTCTAGTAGATGTCTTAGTAATTTACTCTTCTGTAACACATAACATGGTTATCAGTCAAGGGGGATAATTTATAATTTACTTGGTTGCAGCCCCATGTGGGACCGCAACTGTAGATGTATTTTTTATGCTCTTATGTGAGCGATGTTCCCAGTGTTCCCATGCCATGTGACCTCTAGTTGTATCTGTGTCAGCAGCAAAAACCCCAGGCTGCTAATGAAACAAATGGTGCAGTTGCTTTGGTTAACTTGGTCATGTAGACCTATTAATGAAGGTATTGTACATTATATTTTATATTACTGTTTATCATATTAGTGCTGCATGTTGCAGACTAAGTAGGGGAAGTATCTTATTTAGATTACTTGTTTATATTATTCCTACTAGTGCTGCATGTTGCGGACTAGTTAGGGTAAGTATTTGTAATTGTAATACTTGTTGGCATCATTGTATACTCTGGCCGTAGCCTACACTTTGTAGTGTAATTCAGCGATATAACCTATTGTTGTTTACATTTGTTTTAGGGCTATATACCGTTTATGGCTTTGATGTTCATGAATTAGCTGTATACGGATTTGCAATAGAGCCATGAATTAGCTGTATACGGATTTGCAATCGAGCCAAGACAATAACAACAACAAAAGCGTCATTTCGTTGTGTTATCTCTCAGGGTCGGCCCTTCTTAACACTACACCTCAGTGAGTGATATCATCCCCATTGAGGCAGTGTTACACTTCTTTCGTGTTCACATGCAATTGATTTTTGCTGGACAAGAACATTTTTTTTTATTGAATTTAAACAGAAAAAACTCAATTTTCTTTGACAAAGATTGGACAAAGCAGCCATTTTGATATGGTCCTGCATAAAAATAATTAAGATTTAGTGAGATTAGCAAATTTTTCATCTCAGTGAGGGCCTCAATTCCAGCCACAACCAATACCACTCAACAATCCCTAGCCTGCTGCCATTACAGACTTTACAATATTTGTTTTAATGAAAATGAATTTCATTTGCAATAAATTGAATTTTGTAAAACGGAACAGGATCAACTCTGTTAAGTGGACCCTAAATTTTGTTTTTATTAACTTAGGCTAATTGATATAGTTTAAACGTTGCAAAAAAATTGGTAAAATTAGGAAGAAAAATAACTTTACAAAATCTTAATTTAAAATCAATATGTTGAGTGAGAACAATATGAATGGACAAGGCCGACTGAGGAGAAGCCAACAAAAGAAAGGCCTACAGCAAAAATTCATGCAAAACACAATTATGTGCCTATATTTTGTTTTATAATAAATTTTTACAGCGTATTCAACTAAATATGTAACAAACGTGGAGATTGCTGTGCAAAATATTATATAGTATTTTTACATAGGCCTATTTTTTATGATTATGCTACCAAAAAAAAAACCACCCACATTAGGGGTCATCCATTTATGACGTCCACACGTGGGGGGGGGGGGGTGTTTCCAAAAAAATTGACTATTGCGGACGCGTATGGACTTATATAAGGAAAATAAGTGGATTTTTGTGGACAGGGGGAGGGGGTCCAAAATCCAAAAAAATTGTGAATGTCATAAATGGATGACCCCTTATTAATAAATAGATAGGCCTACACAAAATGTTACAATTCTCTACAATTTAAGCCTACTCAAAATATTATAATTCTCTACAATTAGGCTAAATCAAAATATTTCTTAGAAGATTTGGTAATCTATCACTTTAGGTACGTAAAATCGGCCAAGGCTAGTAATGTGAAAGAAGGTGCCTCATTATATTTTAGTAATTATTTCACATTTTAAGGAAGATTTATGTTTTGAAAGTTACAAAAATGTTTCAAAGTTTCATTCATCTAGACCTACCTGTTTATATAAACAATGGACACCAGCGAGAAAAGTCTCAAAGGTATTTGAGAGGTCCATAAATTAATTTAAAAATCATGCACGGCGTAGTTACAATTAATATGGTTACAAAATCCTGCCTATCTGGTTTTTTTCTGACTTTACTAAAGATTGGGTGTATTTGATGTTTTTAATATTTTCAGTAACTAAATAAAAATTTTAAAAAAAAAGCAAAAACAATTTGGTTTTCACATGTAATGGCGACATAAACAATGGCATCCTGCTATTGGATAGGCCGCCATAAATTTTATTGTACACATTGTAAGCTAAAAAAGAAAACTAGGTCATGGGTTTAAATTTGCATTGTTATTTAAAAACTTGATCTGCAAAGTTTTGTAAACATATAGTTATCAATCACTAAGTTACTGTACAGCCAATCAATATGTCTTACGAAAGTCACTGAAACATCAGGTTATAACTTAGGCTTGATGAAAATAAATAGAAATGTAGCCTTAAACTCAACAAATTATTTTCAAGTTCTCTGGATTTGCAACTTTTATAGCATTTATTCTAAAAATATAAAATTTCTAAATTAATTTTAGGCTTAAGTTTTTATTTTTTATTTTCTTTTACGGTCTAAATCTAAAAAGCATGTTTTTATTCCATGTCAACAACATTATGGAAGGAATCTCGTCAACTTGCTGGTGTCCATTGCATTAGGCCTAAAACTTTTCAGTAATAAATAAAGACTACCGATGTTTCCATCAGATGCAGCAAAGCTCGTTTACTTCAGCAGCCATCCTGTTTAAGTTTTTTTTGTAAACTTATAGCGGGAAAATCAGGGGAAGACATTCTATTTTACAAACAGCTGCAGTTTATATAGCAAATATTGATCGCAAACACTGCTGTTCAAAGTTGATTTCTGACCTATATTGATATATTTAGCCATTGGTTTTGGTTTATTATTCAATTATCTATAATATTTGACAATATATCACAATATACTTCTATTAAAGCCTTAACAGTGAGGCAACTTTGTCGCACATTACTAGACTCTGACGATTTTACGTACCTAAAACAATAGATTACTGAAGATTTCTGTGACTTTATTTCCAATAAAATTTTTGCTTAGTGACTTTTCTGTGACTCCTAGATCTAGCAAAAACTGACTTTTTTTATTTTTTTTCCTGTGACTTTTTTTTAAGATGTAGGGCCTACTAATAAAATATTAACTATCCAGATAAATCAAATTTACTACCACGGAGTGGTCTAGCGGTAGATAGCTGGACTGCTAACCCGTAAGTCTCGAGTTCGAATCCGGGTTCAAGTCAGTAGACCGTCCCTGAGTCCACCCAACTCTGATGGGTACCTAACTCACGTTAGGGAAAGTAAAGGCGGCTGGGCATAGTCACTGATAGTGCTGACCACACTATCTCGTCATACTCGTCATAGATCTATATGCTGAGGTCACAGAAACAAGTGAAGGTAATCTATCGTTTTGGGTACGTAAAATCGCCCGCGGCTATTAATGTACGAAAACGTTACCTCATTGTCAAGGCTTTAATAAGAGTTTATTGTCATATATTTGTGTCAAATATTATAGATAAATGAATAATAAACCTAAATCAATGGCTAAATATATCGATAGGCCTATAGGCCAGAAATTAACTTTAAACAGCAGTGTCTGAGAGCAAGATTTGCTATATATTCTATATAAACAGCAGCCATTTGTAAAATAGAGTGGCTTCCCCCTGAATCTGCGCTATAAGCTTATAAAAATAAAACTTAAACAAGATGGCTGCTATAGTAAATGAGCATGGATGCATCTGTAGGAAACATCGCTAGTCTTCATTTATTACGGAAAAGTTTTAATTCAATTGTTTAAAAACGGGTAGGCCTACATAAATGAAACAAGGAAACATTTTTGTATTTTAAAAAACATAAATCCTCCTCAAAATGTGAAATAATTATTAAAATTTAAGGAGTCACCTGTTTTTCACATTACTAGTCGCGGGCGATTTTACGTACCCAAAACGATAGATTACCCGGGCCAAGTGAACTCTACTTCGCTTGCCCCATAGACCGCCAGGTTTGAAAGGGAAAATTTACAATTTTACATCCCTATACTTGATTATAGATCTATGAATCAGAATTCTTAAAAACATACAAGTTACAAGTAGGGTAGGGCCTAATCATAGCTTCAAAATCAAATGCTTGACTTGCAAATTTGAAAATGCGAACACCACTACGTCCAGTGGCACTGCTGGGGGAGTGAAAATGAAAGACGTTTCATGACCGTAAAAGATTATTTCTATAAACGATAAACCAAACCTAGCATAAAGAAAAGAAAAATAACAACATACGGTTATTAAAATAACAGAATTTGAGACTGTTCAAAGCGCATATCACAAGAACATTTTTTTTACTTCTTATTTTAGACTAACTGCACTTTCTGTTATTTTTCTACTTCCGTTCTATCCCGACAGATGACAGAGTCGCAGCAAATGGCTGTTGTTCCGATTTTAATTTTAGTACACCTATCAGATCTTTTTTCAAATCGTCTATTTCAATAGTTTTTTAGGAAGCTCGTCTTAGCAACGTAGACAAAAAAAAATTAAGTTATAAAAGAATGATATAAATATCTACAAAAGTATGAGATATTATATAATTTAATATAGTGGGTGATTATCAAAATTATTAGCCAAACGAAATATAACTAATTTAAATGAGAAATTATACTTTTCGAGTTAGTTTAATAGTTTAGTATAAATTGTTAGAAATAGAGTGACACCATCCGTAAGGTGAGGTGAGTGGGTATGACGGGTGACACCTTGGGTTAGCGAACAGTGTGTCACCAGACCAAGTGACGCCAACGAACCAACCTTTAAACTTTAACCTCAATAGCGTCACATTGGGCCGAAACAGAAAGCTCTTTCCACTTTTGCCTGTCGCTGGTAATTTTTTTTTTTGGCAGACCCCCAAGATAGTTGAACTAGAAAAAAGTGTATTTAATGCATAGGCACAATTGCATTCTCATGAACAGAGCTCCATCCATTCCTACACCCCGACCCCCACTCCCATCAACAAAGCTGCATCCATTCCTACACCCCTTCTTTCATCAACACAGCTGCATCAATTCCTACACCCCACTCCTGTATTCACTCCTACATAAATTATCCTGTCTCTTGTCAAAAATGCCCACACTACAATTCATTATTAAAAGAATACAAATCTAGCACTGCAATTAATTTCCGTCCAAACCAACGAAGTGAAAATCCGCGGATCACTTATAATTACACCTAGCTTCCCAACACAAAATGAGATTGGTCTTAATTAGGATCTATAGTAGATTCTATAATCTTTAAGATTAAATCTCATAGCAAGTCGTCAAGTTATTGGTTAGATATTTTACCGACACACGCTCATAAGGCCAACAAGTCGACGTCTGACTCGTGACTGCATACTGTAAGGTAACTTTTTTTTTCTGTATTGTATGTAAGATAAAAGCTTGTATTGTATGTTAGATAATACAAATAATACCACATGGAAATTTTTGCCTATACAATTCATTGTGGTGAAATTAATTACTCTATTTAAAGTATGAGTATTACAAACGAAGACAATTTTTGTTTATTACTGCCTTTCTTTACAAACAAAATTCTTCGATTTTGGTGTACGAGTGTATCTTACTTTTTAAGTAATTAAAGCAACTGATAACTTTTGAACATAAAACAATTTACTTTTAAGAAAATTACTAATAAAGAAAATTACTAATGTCGGCGTGGTCGAGTCGGTAAAGCTCATGGTTGCTAAACCGAAAAGTCTCGAGTTCGAACCCTCGGGCAGATGAGGCTCGTTAGCTGGGGACAGCCACTCTTCTAGGAGAGACAACTCCAAAATTAAACAACTGCTTCCTTGTAGTTTGTTCTTGGTTGGACAAAGGCTATGGAAGCAAATCCAAAAAGAAAAGCAGGCTGAAATCGGAGTCAATGGCCTCAATGGCGCATAACCAGTTGACACGTAACGCTTAATTGTGTTGGAGGCGTGGTCGAGTCGGCAAAAGCTCATGGTTGATAAATTCGAACAAAAGTCTCGAGTTCAAACCCACTGGCAGATAAATCTCGATCCCCTTCAACACTAATAATTAAGAACGAAGAAGAAGAAGAAGAAGAAGAAGAAAGAGCTGTTCAAGAATAATGTCAAGGATAATATTCTTAAAAAAAAATAGTAGCGTGCTTGGTGTTAAGGACATTGTGTTGTTTCGCTGCTTCAATTAGTTAGATCTACAGGGTTTGTAGACCTATCTTTTCTCATTATAATGAATAGTTTCAGCACTGAAGTGTTAAAATTCAGTGCTTTTTTTTATATATTGGGTTTTGGCATTTTATTCTCTTATTTTACTTAAAGGCATTAATAAGCACACACAATACTGCGAATATCCTCCGTCGTTAAAAACTTAAACATATTAAGCCTAGACAGAAGTTCAGCTTGGTCCAAAATAAAATATACTTATATGTTCTGTATATGTGTTCTGTTGGGTATTACATAAATATATATATGTATATATTTTTTTTTATAGGTCTAACCAACCAAACGCAAACACAACGTGAAATATGAGTTTATTGTGGAATCTGTTTTTTGCCTGCACATTACTGGGGACAGTGAACTCTCAAAGGTCGAACCAGTGTAAGTAGATCCACCTAACATTCACAGATTATTTCAGTGGGGTGTCATCCATTCGAACCAGTGTAAGTAGTTCCACCTAACATTCACAGATTATTTCAGTTAACTCTCAAAGGGCGAACCAGTGTAAGTAGTTCCACCTAACATTCACAGATTATTTCAGTTAACTCTCAAAGGGCGAACCAGTGTAAGTAGTTCCACCTAACATTCACAGATTATTTCAGTGAAATCTCAATGGGCGAACCAGTGTAAGTAGCTCCACCTAACATTCACAGATTATTTCAGTGAAATCTCAATGGGCGAACCAGTGTAAGTAGATCCACCTAACATTCACAGATTATTTCAGTCTACTCTCAAAGGGCGAACCAGTGTAAGTAGATCCACCTAACTTTCACAGATTATTTCAGTCTACTCTCAAAGGGCGAACCAGTGTAAGTAGATCCACCTAACTTTCACAGATTATTTCAGTGAGCTCTAAATGGGCGAACCAGTGTAAGTAGATCCACCTAACATTCACAGATTACTTTCGTGGGCTGTCGTCGATGTTGCTCTACCGTCTATAGGCTGTCTGCTACACCACCTCCTTCCACTCTTCTATCTTCGCATGTGTCAGGACCCTGAGCTGTCGTATCGTAGATCGGTCTTCTCATCAACTATCTACAATCATTATACAATCATTATACAAACATATCGGTGAATTTTCAGGTCCACACACAGAACGATAACGTAAAAACAACTTTATCATCGGTAAATTTATCTGAGTGTCTTATTGCTAAACCAAGTAAAAAGACCTACCCATCATTAACGCTGAAAACGCTTGAATATTTTTTCTGATAGGAAAAAAAAAGGAATTTTAATATTCGAAAATGCCAATTCGTGCACAAACCACGTTCGTTATCCGTATTTCAGGATTTCCCTTAATGTGCTACTTTTGGAAATCGCTAAATTTTTTCACATAGATGTATTATAATCCCAGGTATTTCCCTATCCGTACCAGTCTCTAATCGTAAAGCTAAGCATAAAAATCAAGTTCCCTTCTCGAACCTGACGGTCCATGGGGCAAGTGAAGTAAAGCTCACCTTCTTTCTGTGACCTTGGCATATAAAGGGATAGTGTGGTCAGCACTATGCCCAGCCGCCTTTACTTTCCCTAACTTGAGTTAGGAACCCATCAGAGCTGGGTGTACTCGGGGACGTTCTAGCGCTCTACCGCTCTCCCTCACAGCACATAGATCTACATGTAAGCACACACACACACCGTTTCTTTTGGGCAGACACCAACCCTCTCAAGATGACGGACCCAAACCTCTACATCTACAACTACCTCAACTATCTGGACAACAAGCTGTCGTCTGTAGAGGCCCGCGGCTGCGATGCCGGACTGCTCAACATTACTGTCTGCTTCGACATGGGGGACCCACTGGCCTACAACGAGTGCAATGTGAAGGTCGTCAACACAACCAAAACGGAAGTGTATAATGTTCCGGTTCTCTTTCGCGCCGTTTTTAGAGACGTTCCGGTTGTTACTTCCGGGTTGAACGGTAAGTCATGGCTGAATTACTGCTTGTGAAAAATTTCAGCGTAATGTTATCATTTGTTTCACGACTGTAAAGTACTTGTGAACAGCTTCAGCGTAATGTTATCATTTGTGTTATAACTATTAAGTGGTTGTAAACAACTTCAGGGTAATGTTATCATTTGTGTCACGACTATAAAGTACTTGTGAACATTTAAGTGCAGGGTTTCTTCCAGACATTTTCACCTGAATGGCAAGGGAAAATTGCGATAACGCTGACACTAGTTAAAGTATTTGTTTTCTTAATTATTAACCATTTATTTTTATTTTTTAGGGGGGGGGGGGGGGGGGGGCGAAGGAAATGATTCGCGGGACGTAGGGTGGTGGGGAAGGGGCGGATAATGAAATGAATGAAACTGTAGACCAGGGGTCTCCAAACTTTTCAGTATGAGGGCCGCATTAACTATCAAATTTTAGTTCGGGGGCCAGTTTCTTTCAGGCATGACTTTGATTTTTCAGGGTAGAGTTCCTCAGCCATCACCAACAAACGATTTTTCCTCGGACAAAAAAATCTCCGCGGGCCGGATGAGAGGACTTCGCGGGCCGCATCCGGCCCGCGGGCCGTAGTTTGGAGACCCCTGCTGTAGACTATTAAAGCGTAAGAAATGCTCTAATGAGTTACCTCAGGCAATATATCTATACTAGGTGTGACCCCACGGGATTATTACTAGAGATAAGAAATATTGTGATCCCCATATAATTACTTATTTTTTAATCAAACCTATGTTAATTAGATGTTTTGGGGTCGTCATAAAACTGTTGTGGTCTGGAGTCATTAGGCTAATAGGCTAAGTTGGGGGTCTGGGGTCATTAAGTTAATACATTTTGTGATCCCCTGGAAACTAATTCGAATTGGGATGTGACCTGGGATCATTAAGTTAATAAATTGTGTGATCCCCAGGAAACAACTTTGTTTTGGGGACCAACGTGCAAGTAGAGCCAACAGATGTCACCACCAGCGGGTTCAACATCCGGGTAACGTTATCCGGTTATCTGCCCTTCGACGTCCGTCTCTTCTGGTTCGCCTGCTCTCCGGCCCAGAGGAAGTCATTTTAAAACAAATTACTTTAGCACTAGACAATACACAAACTTTCTGTTCTTTTATTGTGTTGAGTTTTGTCATTTTAAAACAAATTACTTTAGCACTAGATGAATCAATACACAAACTTCCTGTTATTTTATTGTGTTGAGTTTTGTCATTTTAAAACAAATTACTTTAGCACTGGATCAATCAATACACAACTTTCTGTTCTTTAATTGTAATATGACAGTTTTGTCATTTTAAAACAAATTACTTTAGCACTAGATGAATCAATACACAAACTTCCTGTTATTTTATTGTGTTGAGTTTTGTCATTTTAAAACAAATTACTTTAGCACTGGATCAATCAATACACAACTTTCTGTTCTTTAATTGTAATATGACAGTTTTGTCATTTTAAAACAAATTACTTTAGCACTAGATGAATCAATACACAAACTTCCTGTTATTTTATTGTGTTGAGTTTTGTCATTTTAAAACAAATTACTTTAGCACTTGATCAATCAATACACACACCTTATGTTCTTTTATTGTGTTGAGTTTTGTCATTTTAAAACAAATTACTTTAGCACTAGATGAATCAATACACAAACTTCCTGTTATTTTATTGTGTTGAGTTTTGTCATTTTAAAACACATTAATTTAGCACTAGATCAATCAATACACAAACTTTATGTTTTTTTTATTGTGTTGAGTTTTGTCATTTTAAAACAAATTACTTTAGTACTAGACAAATCAATACACAAACTTTATGTTCTTTGATTGTGTTGAGTTTTGTCATTTTAAAACAAATTACTTTAGCACTAGATGAATCAATACACAAACTTCATGTTCGTTTATTGTATTGAGAGAGTTTAGTCATATTAAAACAAATTACATTAGCACTAGATCAATCAATACACAAACTGTATGTTCTTTTATTGTGTTGAGAGATTATTGTCATTTTAAAATAAATTACTTTAGCACTGGATACATCAATACACAACTTGGAGTTTTGTCATTTAAAAAAAAATTACTTTAGCACTAGATGAATCAATACACAAACTTCATGTTCTTTCATTGTGTTGAGTTTTGTTATTTTAAAACAAATTACTTTAGCACTAGACAAATCAATACACAACTTGAGGTTCTTTTATTGTGTTGAGATATTTTTGTCCTTTTGAAACAAATTACTTTAGCACTAGACAAATCAATACACAACTTGGAGTTTCTGTTCTTTTATTGTATTGAGAGAATTTTGTCGTTTAAATCATAATAGCACAAAATGTCGAAAAATACAAAGTCTCTATTAAACAAAGTAATAACATTCGCTATGCATCAGATTTGAACAAGTTGTTGAAAAGTTTCCATGTAAAAAACTGATTTGAACAAAACATTTAAGTTACGTGTAAATAGAATAATACGCTACATGTAATTAGTTAATTATGAACAATTTAAGTCCCCTTGCGGGATAGGCATTATACGCTATATGTAATTACTTAATTATGAACAATTTGAGGTCTCTATGAGGGATAGGCACTAGACGCCACACTGTTTAGGCGGTTGATATTCTTGGGTCAAGGTCGGCTTCTGTCTTTGGTCTACAGTAAACTGGAGATCAATGGAAAAAAAAAATTAAAGATGTTCTCTGGCATGGGAATGAAATGACAGAACGCGCAGATTGAAACAGTAAATTCTACACCATCAGGCTGTTTTGTTTATACCATGTGAAGTGTAAGATAAATTAATGATTGTCAAGAATCAAATTTCAACAAAAAAAGAACTTAAAAGGCGTTCTTATCGAGCCAGTAGTGATAGACAAAGTATTCGACCTACGCCATCGCCTAAAAGACATAGGTAGAAATGTAGACATGGATCTGGTATTTCTGTTTATTGATCTATAGATGTGTCTTGTTAGTTTAAATAATACTTTATATCTAATATTGCAACCAAATAATTTAACTAACATTTCACTATTGGGCAAGGAACTTCTCATAGGCCCTATATGCAATTAACATACTACATAACTTTTTTACACCAAATAATTACTCAAAAAACTCACACAAAACATAGGGCACTATACACACGATAATACATTACATAAAGACTATGAAAATACATATTACAAAATACACTTATACTTACCCTGGTGTGGATCAGGCATTCGTCGAAGATTCCAGAATTTTCGGACACTTGCTTGAAATCAGCCCTAACTGAGTCGTTAGACCAGTCCAGTTGCTGAACAAGGTTAAAGTAGTTGTCCCCTGTAAAAGGTGCCTGGTAGTCGTTTCTATGGGGGAAAAAAGCTCAACGAGTCAAAGGTCTTTAGATATTAACTAGAAAATCTTACTAACTAATGCCTGTCTATAGCTTGGACAGTTGCATGATTTATGTTCTCAACTAGTGTCTTCAAATGTTTTTGATAGTGAAGCGGTCATTGATCTAGAGAGTCTACAATCTGAGGTTATCTAATGAGTCTACAAATATTTAGTGAGTCTACAAATATCTAGTGAGCCTACAATGTGAGGTCATCTAGAAAACTTACAAATCTCTAGTGAGTCTACAATCTGAGGTTATCTAGAGAGCCTACAAATATCTAGTGAGTCTACAATTACCTAGTAGTTAAAGTCTACAAATATCTAGAGTCTACAGTGTGAGGTTGATGTCCCTACCTGGTCAGACACCTGGCGAGAGGTACCCGAGGGTAGTAGAGCAGGAACGAGAGGCACATCTCATCGGTGGTCTTTAGTCCTCCCTAGACGTCATCAAATAGTATGCAAAATATACGTGTATATATATATATATATATATATATATATATATATATATATATATATTTATTTATTTATACGTGTATATATGTGTAAATGTAAAGTGCTTAAAATGCAGCAATAGATTAGCATTTTAAAACTGTAATTATAATTATATTTATATACATATGCATTTGGTTTTATGATTATATGCATCCTTGCAGTCAACCATACATACATGATACTAATGATAGAATGAATTACTAAAGTGCAAGAACATACGATCAACAACCTACGTACTACAACCTACAAACAACTTACAAACGTGACGTCAGTTCGACCAGTGGATTCATAGTCGCACTCGACAAGAATCATGTCGCCCTAGAGAAATTTAAGGAAATAACAGATGTTTAGTTTACCCCAATGATTTAACTGAAATATTGTCACTGAAAAACCTGTTCTAAAATGCTTCAAATATCTTTGATTTAATCATAAAGGAAGTAAATGCATATATCGTAAAACTTTATTTACTTTATAACTTTAGACTGACCTTCTTGACCACTCGCTCTTCTTTTAACATCCGGGTCTCCTGGTAGTTAAAATCGTAGCTGTTGTCTTCCATGATGGGAGGTAACTCCACGTTATTCCGGAAGTGACGTGTCCGCATCTTCCTCCCCAGTAGGTGAGCGTGTAGGAAATTGGCAAAAACTTTTATCTCTGTATCTCCAACACCCTGGGATCGAAACCAGGTTAAACACATATTTAGTTTTGTTGTTTCAAATGAAAAGTGTCGGAAAATGTAGCAGCAATGGGACATTAAAGAAAAAAAAAACATGAATGGATATTACAATCTTTAGAACCAATCATAAAATACCTTAGCTATGCAGTCTGCAGTACAGTAACCAGCGGAGATAAAACTGGGCTCAAAAGGTGGAATCATCTGAAAGGGGTCAACACTGACCCCTGTTGTAAGCTGCCCAGCGTCGTACTGTCTCAGGTGTTTGGTCAAGTAGATCCTTATGCCAGAGTTGTCCACAAAATCTGGAAAACACGACGTCCAATTATTACTTTAATCCAACACACAATGTCAAGTGCATGTTCAGTCATCCATAATGCTTTTAATACATAGATTAGTTTATAACAAAATTTGAAACAGATATTGCGATAATTAAAGCTGGTAATTTACTTAAACTTAAATTAACTCTTATTAGCATCAATGTTTTATCTTGGAAAAAATGACATCACTTTTAAAATAAGCCTCTACATTAAATACCACAGGACTGGACAATGCTACAAGGCACATACAACATATCTTAAGATCAATCAAAGAAAAAAAAATGATAACTAACCTGATCTGAGATCGGGGTTGTTGTAGTGGGTTTCTATTCTAAAATAGACGGGGTCGTTGGGTGCACCAAGGGAGTAACCTACATTCTCTGGGAAGTTGAAAGTCTGGGGAATGTAATGTGGTTGTAGTGCTATGTTACTTAAACGCTAAAGGAATGTAGTGTGGATTTAGTGTAATGTTACACTAAACGCTGAAGACATCCGTAGGTTTATGTTTCTGGTCAGGGTGGTGAATGACTTTAGGTATGTTGCCTGACTTATGAGCATCATTTGACGTGTAATATTCCAACAGGATAAATCTAATCATAGTTATAAGTCTATTTGTAAAAGTATTTAATGTTTGTTATTTTAGAAAGATTTGTTTTATGAATTTTGTATTGTACTAGACTACCCGTTATCTTTTGATAACTATGGGTTTCGGGGGTCATCCATTAAAGACTTCACCTTTATTTGACGATTTTTATCTTTGTTTCACCCTCCATACTCTCACACATCGACACAAAAAGCTAGAACCCACATTAAAAAAAGACGTCACACCTCAGACAACATGTTTTTGTCTTTTAAAAACACCGATTTCGGCGGAACATGGGTCTGACCACACTATCCCTTCATATGCTAAGGTCACAGGTGAACTCTACCTCACTTGCCGAATTCCACCTCACCAGCCCAGTGTCCAGCCAAGTCACGATAGGCAACTTTATTATTCACATCTAAAGGTCACACCTCAGTTTATATGTTTTTGTCTTTTAAAAACATCGATTTATCTCGATAATATTTTCTGAGCATTTGAATAATAAATGAATAAATTATTAAAGCTGACGTCAAACTAATATTAGTATTAATGAATTAGAACCAATTACGTGTATTGCGTTTTTGCACTGTGCATGTAGCTTTATAATTCGTTAAATTTTTGAAAGCCATGAAAGCCGCCATATTTGTTGTGAAAATAAGTAAATCAATCAAGTGAAAGTTGTTTTTTCCTTAAAATAAGGTTCTTGGTCTGAACTTTTATAATTAAACGGGTGTTTCTATAAATGAGTATATCAATAAATTAATTAACTTCTATGAATAGATTTGTGAATAACAGTTTGGGGAAAAATAACATTATTCTTTACATAAATACGTATTTTACATTTCTACACATTGTGCAGATGCTCTCATGTAATGGAACAGACAAACAAAAAAGTAAAAACATAAATTAATATACAAACATAAAAACAACTTAAACTTGAGTATAATTTATAGATTTTCTTTTTTCCTATTATTGTACCTCCGTGTTGGCTATGCTTCTTTAACATCTTATGGATGTTGTGTGTTACACTAGTGTGGGCTGGTGTTGAATTATCTGTGGTTGGTGAAAACATGTATAGCCTATAGGTAAGGTCATAAACAGTATGTTATTTACAATGTTAAAAAACCTTGTATCGCAGATGGCCATCAATAGCAGACTGTATACAGATTTACTTGACCGTCGATGGCCAAAAAGGACAAACTGTATAAAGATTTACCTGGCCAACGGTGGCCAAAATGACGAAAATTTGATAAAGACTCACCCTCCCGCCGATGGCCCATGAAATGATGACGTGTTCACATTGATTGAGCTCCTGGCTCGGCGTCTCATCGTAACACATGTATGACGTGTTTAGGAACTTGTCATCCACCTTTATGGGGCAGTAGTAGACCACAAGATGGTGGACCAGCTCCTCGTGGCCTGGCTGGACAATGGGCTCGTACTGGACACACAACATCAAGTTCTTATCACTTGCAATTTTTAGTTTACTTCAGTGCACATCAAGTTTTTATCAAACCACTAGCAACTTTAAAAAATAATCTGTTATTGTATACTGCTAGTGCTTTTTGTACCTTTGTGAGTTTGTTAGTAGTTGGAGTAGAAAGACTACTATGTAGTTAAGTCGTTCACAAAAGAAACAAAAGAAATTACAAGTTGTTCTCAAAAGAAACATGTTTTCTTGTAATTTCTTTGCCAAGTTTTATACGATCAATACTATCGTTTAGAAGTCTAAATCATTATGGACCAATAATTAACTTGGACAGATAATTAGGACAAGTGAATATTGTGGTTGCAGTTGAAATGGATTAACTGAGATGTTCTTACCTTGAACATGTGATGTTTTTGGCCGAGGTCAGGAAGTTTGACAATCGTACACCTGTAGTATGTGCCCATGGCCGGCACGGTAAACTAAAGGTGAGAGAAAGTACAATAAGGGCAGGGATCAGAGCCAGTTCACTGGATGAAAATATTATTGTAGTTATATCATGCGACATAGATTTTAAAAAGCCTTTCACATATTTCAACGTGTTGGTGTTAAAACTTTTCCACAAAAAACACAAAAACATAAGTTATTAAAACAAAAACAAAAAGGAGCAAATCCAAAAAGAAAAGCAGGCTGAAATCGGAGTCAGCGGTCTGTAAGGAATCTTTTTCGGGAATCTCTTCCAACACTAAATATTAAGAACGCAGAAGAAGAAGAAAAACAAATACAGCAAGGATACTACCTAGTCTTTTCTCAATAAAAACTTACGTTAAAATAGCCAGAGTTCTTAATGTATGTGTCAACACATTGTTTAATGGACCATCTAATTACGTAACTGTGCTACTATTTAGAACTTTGTAAGAGAAATGTATACAATGTCGGCTCACAACAAGCCAACACTTACGTTTACATTCATGAAGTCAAAGGTCACAACGTCATCGGGCAGTGGTTTCTGGTTGGCCTCGCTTGAAGGCGGGTCCAGCATCAAAATGGACTTGACGCCTCGTCTGGACGACCCGTGGTACATGACCGTGGTATCGGAGGTTGGGTCGTTCGGGTTGTAGCTAAAAATAACACGGGTCGTGCCGTTCTGTGGATGTTGTGCCACGGATACATTTTTCACATTATTTTGTAGAGATGATATCACAGTTAATTTGAAGGATATGATGAGAGGGAAAAGAGAGAGCAATAACTAGAAAGTATTGGTAAAAGTGCAAACTCACAGACATCTTAGAGTAACAGAACGCACATTGAAGAGTATAGTCATGAAAAGCGACAACCGACTAGGATTAGATAAATTACTCAAGTACGTACAGTGATGGGCAAGTCATCAGAGTCACATGTCACGAGTTTCCTGACAAAGATCAAGGTCGTGTATTCCCCAGATTCAGCAGCTGAGACCAGACTCCAGTCCTGGATGGCATCAATAGCAGGCAAGAAGTTTCCTTCGGCGTGACGGTCCTGGGACACGAATACAAAAGTTTTACTTTCACACTCATGCCATAAGTTAGAGATTCATAAAGATAAAAAAAAAGTATGTATCTCCATGCTGCACATATAAAAAATATAAATAAACCTACAGAAAAATGGGATTGTCCATCTTTCACCCAGCCAATGACAACGTCTGAGTGTGTCATTGCGCCGTTTGGGGAAATCCCGAAACCAATGTAGCCTGAGAAAGCGAATATAAAAGTGTCAACATAAAGTTGCATATGACTGTTCTTATGTTGTTATCTTGTAAATTATTGTTTAAAGACAGTTTTTCATATTAATACTTTATTACAAATAATAACTGTGAATATGTTTTTGTTAAAACTTATTTTAATATTTGTAAGTCTAAAGTTATTTAATTTTTTTTAAAATAATTGTTCCCATTGTACCAGCAGTAAACAAAACAAAAACTTACCATTAAACTACCATTAGTCTTGACAAGAAAAACTACCATTAGTCCTGACAAGAAAACTTACCATTACAACCTACCATTAGAACCTACCATTAGAACCTACCATTAGAACCTACAATTAGAACCTACCATTACAACCTACCATTACAACCTACCATTAGAACCTACCATTAGAACCTACAATTAGAACCTACCATTACAACCTACCATTACAACCTACCATTAGAACCTACCATTAGAACCTACAATTAGAACCTACCATTACAACCTACCATTACAACCTACCATTAGAACCTACCATTAGTCCTGACCTGGACCTTGAACAAGATGTGTGTAGAGTTGAAGTTCCAGTACAGATTGTAGTTGTCGTCTAGAACTTCGTGGTAGTTGTATGTGTCTGTCGCCAGCGGTCCTGTCAATCACATTTAAAGCTCTAAGAGTTTGAGAACTACATTTCTTCACATAAGTAGCTTTAAACTATGTCTTATAGCATTTTCTGACAGTTTGTTGGTCAATATAACAGCTATATATGTTTTCTTGTCTTATCAAACAGGAGCAGGATATTATTCCCGAAAAACCGGTCAATGTACCCACCTCTAAGTCATTGAGTGATCAGGATAAAAACAGGGATAGGTTAAGGATAAGTTTGGGATTGGGCTAAAGTTAGGGCTAGGTAAAGAAAAGGCATAGGTTTTACGTTAGAGATAGGGTTAGTCTTAGGATTTTAGAGAATAGGATTTAATGTGGAGGTTATGGATAAGCGTAAGGTTTATATTAGGGAGTTGGATACTGAGATATATAATGACTAATATACTTATAGGTATAATACATATTCTACAAGGGGAGGAGAAATCGCCTGTGTAGTAATAGACAGATGTTTTATGATGGAGAGGGTGGTAATGGCGGTGAGATAGTTGACTCGAGGGTGATATCTTAGACATTGGTCAAACATGCACAAGTGATCGCATAATTAAGTCTTCGATATCTTTGAAGTGTTTTTCTTCTTGGCTGTTATTTACTTACCATCAGTGGCGGGGGCCGGGGGTACGTACAGCCCATCACATGACGCCATAAAAGGGATGATCAACAATACACAGGATAACATTTCTTACTGAAAGTTTAACAGTAAAGACAACATAACAAAACAACACTTGTTGTGAATTATGTGAAAGTTTAACAGTAAAGACAACATAACAAAACAACACTTGTTGTGAATTATGTGAAAGTTTAACAGTAAAGACAACATAACAAAACAACACTTGTTGTGAATTATGTGAAAGTTTAACAGTAAAGACAACATAACAAAACAACACTTGTTGTGAATTATGTGAAAGTTTAACAGTAAAGACAACATAACAAAACAACACTTGTTGTGAATTATGTGAAAGTTTAACAATGAAGACAACATAACAAAACAACAATTGTTGTGAATTATGTGAAAGTTGAACAGATAACTTAATATAACAACACATCAACTGATGTGAATAGTTTATTACTCTGGCGAATGTTTCAGAGACCGAAAATAAAATTAAGATAATTAATGAGGAAAATTGGTGGCTTAATTGTGTGAAAAGTCACAGCATCAAAAAATTCAGAGTGGAAACAACTTAAAATGAAATAATTTTCAATTGAGACATTTCAATGCATTAAAATTATTCGTTTTAATGAAATCCCGTTTATGGAATTCCATAGTATGGAAATGTATAATACTGAATTTTGTTTTCCGAAACCCTAAAAATTGAATTTTAATATGTTCTTTAAACCATATTCACTATTAAAAAAAACTCACTACTTACGTTTCAACGGTGATCAATATTTAGAAGTAGAATGGCTAGTTTTTTTTTTTGTTTAAATAGGTTTGAAGTTTATGGGGGGGGGGGGGGGAATTGTGTGTAAGATGGGAGGGTAGATTAGAAAGATAAGGCAGTCAGGTGAGAAAATCAAAGGTCAAGGTTGGATTATGTTGTAATAAAATATCAGGTGACCGGATTTAGGCCCATTTAAAACTTATACTAAACAGTACGTCATACGGAAAAATGTGTATTGCGTTATAGGAATCATAATCTAAATTAGGTCCCATAAAATACAAAGCGACGTGTCAATGCGTGTTTAAATGTTAGTCATTTTCACTAAACAGAAGGTGAATGAATATGAACGCGTATACCTTTGTAAGTAGGACTAGCCTGAGTTTGTAAGTAGGACTAGTCTAAGTTTGTAGGCTAGGTAGGACTAGTCTAAGTTTGTTAGTAGGACTAATCTGAGTACTACAACTTGCGACGAGAAAACAATCAAATTATTTGGGAGCAGATTTCAATTCAGGCCTCTCGTCGGAGTAAAGGGGGGGGGGGGGTAGGAAAGAAAGGCTACCCCCCACCCCTCCCACGAACGAAAAAAAAATGATATTGGAAATTATTTATGTTTTTCACAGTATACGCCCCCCACCCCAGAAAAATTAGTCGCCCCCCAAAAAAAATTCAAATGCCCCCCCCCCCACCCCCCCCCCCCCTCTCCGGATAAAAGTCTGAAAGAAAAAATGACTGAATGCGATTAGTTTACAAATTATTGCTTGCTGCAACACAATAAAACACGTAAAAACAGAAACAGTTTGACGTTGTCAATTAATCTATATGTTTCAGAGTAAAACAAAAACGAATAGTTTAGAAATTAAAGGTATGTTGCATTACTTTTCATCGCTGGTATGTCTAGTTAGAATGCCGGAGTTCCAAGGTTGGTGGACAAATTAATCTTTGAAGCAAAGTTATGTGTCACGTAATCTGGCAGAATCAAATACAAATTTAAATTTATAAACATTAGTTCCTAGAAGATACGAAATTTAAAAAAATACAGGTCAGTAGAAATACGTGACAACCACGCAACATGCGAGTCACCTTCACCTTCACCCCACCCTAAAGTATAATTGTGCTGACATTCTCTGTTTATTCTAGTTTGGTCTACATATTTTAGTTTACTATCTTTATATTCTTATTTAAACTGTACACTGAAATATGTCAAAGCCAACCTTGCACTGAAGCTATGGCTATAGACTGATAACGTGATGTGATTCATAACTCTTCGCCTGTTGTTTGGTTGGCCTTAAACCACGGCCTCTATATTCCCACGTTTTCTTTAACTTGCTTTCGTCTCTGTTTGTTTGTCTTTCCAATCAAATCTTGCTATCGAAATTTCTGGCACTTCCCAGTTAGCTAGCGCGCTGAAATTTTCAGGGAAGCTTTGTTTTGGATGACAATTGAATATTCAATTGTTATTTTACATTGTAACATCACATCACGAGGCAAACTATTCGGTTCCTTTTAACTTTAAATCACCTGTAATCACCTGTAAAACGTGCATTGTAGTCGTTTCTGAGGAGAAAACAGTCTAATGAGTCTACAATCAGAGGTCATTTAGTGAGTCTACAATCTGAGGTCATTTAGTGATGTCTACAATCTGAGGTCATTTAGTGAGTCTACATTCCGAAGATCCTGGTACGTCGGACTCCCAAGTCCCCTACGTAACAGCGTGGGGGAGGAGAGGTGCAAGACTGCCGGGAACCAAGAAGGGTTTGCTCTCGACCCTAAACAGATATCTTGACTTTAAGTTGCGGCCTTCACGTGGCTTCGGAAGAGTGCCACTAGTCGGACCAAGCTCATGACCCCCCCCCCCCCCCCCCATAGTGAGTGCGGAATGGCTTGTGGTAGCCAACAGCAGCTAGAGGTTTTTGATCTGACCGAGTAGAGCTGCTGTATGCGCAAGGCTCAAAGAACGACCGAACGCCCCCCTCGATCAAGCTGGGTACCAGGCGGTAGGACGACATCCCGCGTCTGGTGGGTGGGGAAGGAAAGCCCGGTGAGAGCCGACGGAAGTAGCGACCGATGTGTGGGAAACCTTCTGAGCCGGTTTCCGTATAAGGAAGAAAGGAAGTGAGTCTACAAATATCTAACGAGTCTGCAATCTGAGTTCATCTAGTGAGTCTGCAATCTGAAGTCATCTAGTGAGTCTACAATCTGAAGTCATCTAGTGAGTCTACAATCTGAAGTCATCTAGTTAGTCTAAAATCTAAGGTCATCTAGTGAGTCTACAATCCGAAGTCATCTAGTGAGTCTGCAATCTGAAGTCATCTAGTGAGTCTACAATGTGAGGTCATTTAGTGAGTCTACAATCTAAGGTCATCTAGTGAGTCTACAATCTGAGGTCATCTAGTGAGTCTACAATCTGAGGTCATCTAGTGAGTCTACAATCTGAGGTCATCTAGTGAGTCTACAATCTGAGGTCATCTAGTGAGTCTACAATCTGAGGTCATCTAGTGAGTCTACAATCTAAGGTCATCTAGTGAGTCTACAATCTGGAGGGGGGAGAAGAGCGGTGAATGTACGATCTATGTTTATACTTGTTTAACATAGACTACCAATACCTATTAGAAAAATTAAAATCAAATTATATACATTATTAGTCAACACCATATTAAATGCACACGCTGATTAAGAGGCTTAAAATAATTTTGTTAAAATCCCGGCTGTTCAATGGTAGGTTTGTTGCTTTTGCCTTTTAAAAACACCTATTTCAGCTGAGCATGGGTCTGACCACACTATCGCTTCATATGCTGAGAAGACAGATACGGGTGAACTTTACTTCACCTGCCCCGTGTCCCGCCAAATCCCGATGAGCAACTTTATCATTCATATCTAAAAAAAATGAGAAAAAAAAAATTACATTTACATGATGTGTCTCAAACCCGTACCAACCACATGGTAACTATTACGCTAGCAACTCAGCTATCTGGTAAGTTCCTAATAGTTATAAAGTAAGTGGTGTAGTTTACATATAGAGTCCGCTTAAGTTACGCGAATAGACCCTATTATTTCAAATTAAATTTTATCCTAAATTAACCAATTCCATAGTTAAGCCAACAAATATTTATATATAAAATAATTAAGGATTGTATACATTTCATAGCGTACGTAGATCTAATCAAATTTGAATGAAATAGTTCATTTCTTTATATTCTAAAATTGGAAGATGACGCCATTAGTTTTGTGTTCTTTCTTTAGTGTAAACAAATGACATGTGATGTCATTGTTTAATGCGCTCTTGTCACGACAATAAACGCTTTAGTTAGAAATCTGTTTCTACATTCGAATATCTTTTTTATTTCCCTTCTTTAAAGAAAATTTAATTTATACATTTATACCGTCCATCATATTATTTTCAACAAAAGTCCGTATCTTTAAGTTCTCCATATATCGCTGAACATGTTGGCGACGTTGCCAAAAATATTGCAGACTGAGAGAAGTGCGCACATGGGCTTTTATATATTAAGATTCAAAATATCAGCTAGCCAGCTATCTCTAGCAAGCTTGCCAGCTTATCATAGCCCTCTAGCGCTAGCCAATTAGCCTCAGTCAGCTAGCCTTAGTCAGCTATCCCAAGCCAGTTAATCCTAGCCAGCTTGCCATTACCAAATCGCCCTATTCAGTAGTCCTAGCCAGATAGCCCTACCCAGCTAGCCAGCTAGCCAGCCAGCTAGCCCGACCACCTGCTTACGTAAACGAGCATTGTTTACCTCAATTGAAACGATCAATTACATCTAAGTTGGTTGAAAAAAAAATATCTATTTGCAACAGCTAGTCTTTTATTGTTAATCAAGCATGATCTTATTTCAATATTCTCCCATACACACATTTCAGTAAAATGTATGCTTGCTGGATGAACCTTTTGATGTAGGCTCTGTAACACGTATCAATATATGATAGAACACACCATTCGATTGCCAACCAGTAAATAAAATGTTTTTTGGTATCAGTTGAACTTCCAACAGTCTACCCAATATTAATGTGTACCTCAAACGTAGGGTGTCACTGAGTCAGAGGCGTATGCCAGTTTTTGGGTTAGGGGCGGACAAGTCGATAAAAACCTTTATGTCATTTCTTTGATAAAATGCGCCATATTATATATATATATATATATATATATATATATATATATATATATATATGTATATATATATATATATATATATATATATATATATATATATATATATATATATATATATATATATATATA